AAATTTTGATGAGGAATACATTCAATTAATTACACTAGTTATAGCACATCGCAAGTTTTGTAAACTCATTTTATTTAAATACTTTACGGGTAATCTAAAGAACACGTATTTCCAAAATAGAACATATCAGTGATTTGCAACTGTTTCCAGAAGTACCAATCAGTGCCGAGGAATAACGCGTGATAACCGAGTGAGAATCAATAACAATAATCATGAGTAACTGACTGGCTATTTGATGCTGGCATTTGACAAAGCAATCCTTAGGCTCTATGAATCGGCGAAATTGCATTGACAACACGAACGTTTGAAACCACGAGTTTTATATTCCATCGGTCGGTGTCCATGTATCATATTTATACCCAATTCAATTATTATTATTAATATTATTATCATTATAATTATTATTATTATTATTCCGTAAGTATTAAAAGTTTACAATATTATTGTATAATTAATTGATGTTTCCGGACGTGTCAACTGATAAGGCCAATAGTCTCGTAAGTGTAGTGTTTTCTGGAAGAAACGCATTTGATGACGCCGGAAATAGTATAACCACACTAACTATGGAAAAGTAATATTTTGTTTATTAAGGAATTTAATGAAATAAATAGATACTTTCGTACAAGAGAGAAAATTTACCATTCAACAACGTTAAGATGACATTTTTTCTAAAAGAACTGTAAATTTGTTCACGAAACATTTCATTTGAAATGATATTCTGCTTTGTATGAATTGTCGATTTCTCGTGACGATCCGATAACAGTGATGGGAATAAATTAAGAAAAGTGAAAATTGCACGATTTTTTTGCTGAAACAGACCTCCGTTTTTATTATCAACTTTATAGTAAGAAAAACTAAGCTATTGGACAAATTTAAATGTACTCCTAATATTGTGTTCTACAATACACAGTTCTACAATATAATACCCACGTTTCTAACAGAACTGGGAAACACTATATGTATACCGAGTTCCTGAATGTAAAAGAAAGTGTATTTTCAGATGTGGGAGCTGAATACAGAACTGAAACTTTGTTACCATGGCAACAAATTCTGTTGAACGTCATTCAGATGAAGAGATTAAGGTTGATAAAACATTAGCCGCATATGCGCAATAAATAAGTCAATTTCATTTATTTATTGAGGTTTAGATCCCCTTCAATTGCTGAGGTCATTGAGTGATCTAATGAGTGAATGGGAGCAATATTGAGTATGTTAATGATGCAATTGTGCGGGGGGGGGGTTAACAGGAAAAAACAGAAAACACGAGAAAACGTGGCCAAAGCTCGCTTCGTCCACCACAAATTCCACATGCTTTTTCCGGCAATCGAACTTGGGCCCAGCGGTTGGATATATATGCTTACATATGCCACAATGCCCCCTGCCCTCCCTAAATGTTCAATAAATTCAATTTTGAAGTCATAGAAGGCTCATAAAAGCTGTTAGTAAAATGACATGATTTAAAGCAGTTTGAAGAAGAGATTTCTGTAAGAGATGGCTGAAATTTTAACTGCACACAAGTTACTATAAACATTAAGCAATGGGATGTTTCTTCGGCAATATACATATGATAATTCAAAGTAACCTTTATATTTTCTTTCATAATACAATGGTTACACTCGCCTAAATAACAATAATTAAAGAACAATTTATTACATGCCAATTGTTTACTTCCATTACTCTCTGCATTCGCTGTCGACATCATGACAACCTTTCCTTTTCAATCCTGAATAAAAAGGTCTTCCACTTCTCTCCCCTTCAGGTTCCCATTCAAACATCGTCTTCGACGTTATTCATTCTTTGGGTGTGGTCAAACCAACGAATTTGTCTCTCCACTATAAGTAATTTTGATTGAGTTATCTTCTTTCCATTCATTATATAAAGCAGTCGTCGAACCCACGGCAGGCAGACAGGCCTGGGTGGGAGCAGGGCAACCTGTCATGAAGCTTTCGCGCACTCGGAAGGACACGTAGCAATCAAGAATGCGGCAAGAATTCGCTCCCTCGCGGACGCCTCGCCACCTGGGAGGAGGGCAGCGCAGAAAGTCGACAGAGGGTTTCATTCTGCCCTTTGGGGCCGAGGGGCAGGGCCGGATAATTAGTGCGGCAAACAACGATACTCCCCAATTATTTTGAAACGCTGAACGTCAGTAATCAAAGTGTGAATTAATGTTAAACTATTACCTTGACAATTTATAAAATTATTATTAGGATAATGCTTACAAAACATATTACATTCATATATAACAAATTTAATTTAAAATTATGTTAATCTACAGTTTTGCTGCTACATTTTAAAATTATAAATTCCACGAATTAAAATGTCAATAAGTTTTATTGTTTTGTACCATTAATAGACGAGTTTATTTCTACGCATTTACACAACTATGTACAAATTTCTTTCCAATACCATTGTGGCAATTTAGTAAGTAGGCATGGTTCATGTTTATGGATTATTCGATACTCTTCTATATTTTGAAAATATTAATGGGTTGATTAACGTGATATGTTGACAATTTATTTTGGCAGGTCTCATCTGAAGAAAACAGAAAACGTTTGCTGTCATTATTCTTTGAAATATCTTTATCAATTTCCTTTTTCCAAAACTGAAAAAAATCTTTGGATTTCATTGAAATAGTTATATTCTCCTAATATCGCAAAATATTTCTGCATCATTATTATTTATTCATATACATGCGGTGGAGACCTTCACAATAATAGATCCATGGGCCCTACAAACCCTTCATATACACCTATTACAGAAATTTGTCAAAATGTAGGTGATGAACAAAACTGTTCTGGGCGTTCAAAGAATTAACCACAATCGCATTCCCTACTTGAACATTTGTATTATTTTTTCCTCTCCTTTTAAGGTTTGATGCAGAAAATATCGCCTTTGAAAGCTGCTCCTTTAACTATCAAGGTACAAAAATATCTTCAGAAGTACAAATCTGTGAATATACAATGACTCTTATATTTCATATTACTTTTTATTTATTTTACGTCAAAAAACAGTAAAGAAATATGTAATATACATGGGAGAAGGACAATACGGGGGAATTATGGAGTAAATCTGTAGGCAAACGACCTACATAATGCATTCAAGCTGCAATCAATTGACACAAAAAATTGTTAAAAAATAGATTTAATCATATAATTGTAATTAATAGATATTATTTTCGTATTGGTTCCACTAACATTACGGGATTAGTCGTTAACTCGTATAATGTGCATCATGTGCATGTGTATGTTTTGATGTTCTAAAAGCGTATCGGTCACATGTTAGGTGAACTTCAAATACGTTTGCTCAGAATTCTGTAGACAGTTCTATTTTATCCATTGGATATAGATACTCGCTCAATTTTCCGTTTCTGGCATTAAAAGGTTGAGTAAATTCCTTCATTTTGTATACTACGAACGGTTTTCCAATTATCTACCGTATCTTCAATTCCGTAAACATTACATTCTTCAATATAGTAATAGTAAATGGCCTTTTGACACACATGCCCCGTTTAAATGTTCTTATTTACGGGAAAACTAATTTGTTGATTTGACGAAACAACAAAACAAATGAAACTATAGTATATTATGGCAACAACAGGAAAAAGACAGCATTGAGATATTACCGAGCACTTGTAGTTTCGTGGTGCATTTCATCTCGCGAGGTTCAGAAAAATGAAAGTAAGATCTCCGCGACGACGCAGCATGACATTCCACGTGGTAGACACAAAGGATTGGCGATCGCTGCTCGAAAACGCGAGGCAGGAAGCATTAAATAACAATGCAAAGATTACTTTAGGTAACTGACAAGTCTACAAAACAATTGTGCACTTGTCAAGTGCAGGCAACGCATTAATAACGCTTTAAGACAATTTGTGGCATTGGTAGATAATATTCTGTTATTTCTAAATGTATATTATTTAAAATTCGCTTAAGTAACTAATTACCTTTCTGCTTTATTATTAGTGCGTACACTAACTTAAGTCGCCAAATAATAACCGTTTAAAAAAAGTATCACTGAAAAGAACAATGAGGTAAAAATGGAGAAATATGTGTAGTTTCTTTTAGTCCGAAATACAATTCGCAACTTTAGTACTTCGCCAAAACTTTAGTACCAGTAGCAAAATTGATCTTGATCTACTTCAAATAACGTATCAATTAGCACGTCTCACAATTAAATTGATCCAAAGTATCTAAATATGCGAAAGAAGAAATAATTTTTTCAAATGTCAAATGGTCGTAAACAAGAATTCAAATTTCTCTTAGGGGAAAAATTCCTTCTGGTTTGAAGGAATCCAATTCTGAGATAAACAAAATTGACTGAAGAACGTTTAAAACGAATAAAGAAGTTCAAAACTGACACTTATCTACAACCATCTGTTTATTTGTATAAATCTCCATACAGATTCAATAAACCTAGCCTGTCTCCATTACGTGAATCGTAAGCAGGATAGTAAGGGTATTCTTTTAGTAATTCCGTTTGGAGCGCGTTGGGATCGTCCACGTCGATACGTGCAGAAGCACGGGCTGCAACTCACCTCAGAAACCAGCGGAGACGCCGCCAGGTGACCAGGTGGGTCGGCTGCCGCAGAACGTTGCTCTCACTCGCACGTCACACAAACAAAAACTGCCCACGGATCGCTTTTCGACACTCGCACTTTTCGGACAATCCCAGGAGGGCTCACTCCGACTGGCGCACGGCGGTCGCGGCTCGCTGGTTTCCGCTTCATTCCACAGGCGCCGATCTCCAGCTTCCAAGGTGTGCAGCACACGCGCGTCCACGGAGCCGCATTCCTGAATCGTGATCCCGACGTATGAAAATAAAACCCGCGTCGCGCCCGCAGGGGAGTGGTGTGGTGTCCGGTGGGTGGGCTAGAGGTGGACGGTGCACGTCGCGACTGAGTGTATGGCCCTTTTACTATAGAAACGCTCTGACGGGGGCAGCGGTGCCCTGCACACCTAGCGCCGACCTGGCCAGCACTAACTACACTGGCGCTCCACTCTGCGCTCGCGCTGGCGGTGGCGGTGGTGGCGGCGGCGGCGGCGGCCGCCCGTTCGATCCGTGACGACGCCTACGCGCACCGACAGAAACCGCGCCTCGCCTCGCTCCGCTCCGCTCCGCTCCGCTCCGCTCCGCCTGACGCCCGTCGCGGGACCCAAACCGTGAGTCCGCCGCACGCAATGGCCCGGCCCTCCTGCTTCGGACCCTTGCTCGCGTGGTTGTGTCTCCATCTACCGGTGACGGCCACAAGCCCCGACGGCACGCGCGTCATTGCATAAACAACCTCCGCGCTGCCCTCGCGTCAGCGTTGCCGGCTTTCGAAATGTGGATCCCGCTCCGAAAACCCGCAGCTGGACGTACAATATATTCCGTTACATTTATTCAAGCTCTCTTCCACGAAACTCGGTTCATGTTCAATTGTGTTGTACGATAGGTAGCGAACGAAAGAAGCTGTACCAAACAGTAACGCAACAATTCCAATTAATAACAAAAAAATAAAAAAAGTTCTTTAGATTTAAAGTCACCAAGTAAGTACTTCTTTGATTTCAATAAAAAAATTGGCATGTATTACATGTAGAAAGAAACGTCAATAACAATGTAATTAATAAAATCATCAGTATCTTGTAACAGAACTCTGTGTACCTTATTTGTATGATTGTGTGAATTACAACCACCAGGCACTCATTTCCTCAGGGGAAGATTTCCAATTTATCCTAGTCATCAAGTTTTGAAGAGGTCATTTAATTCTCTAAAGGATTCAAGTTTTTATTGAAATTTAACTTAATGTTATACACATATAAACACTTATACACATATAAACCATTGCGCTAATTGACAGCAATCAGCTCGGAAGCAGTTTTCCAATCAGGGGCTTTCTTGTGTCTTAATTTTTTATATTGAAGCTCTCGATTAGATTACCACATCCCAGCTGACCACTTTTAAATAAACTTATATTTTATTCAGCGAACAGTTTAATTCTTTCCCTCTTACGATACACCAACTATACTGAAACAAGTACTAAAACAATGTGTTTAAACATAATATTATTAAAAATTAAAATTGTAACAATGTAAAAGTTTTATGTGGTAAAATGTAGAGCATTGTAATTTGAATGTATCTCTATTTGGTCTATACTGTTAATCAGTTCCTCATGAACATTGAAACTTACAATTAATTTATTTTTTTCTTTTATCTTCTAATATACAATGGTAGATATGTATAGGCCTACTGGGGAAAAAAAACCATTACAAAAACTGCAAGTCAATTTCTTTAGGGGAAAAAATCACCAATCCACATACCAATGATTCCTTCCAATTTGTAATCACAATAAATGACAGATATATGAACGGATAGAACTATAATGCAAATTACTTATTCCAAAATTTGATAATTTATGGGTTTTTTATTGCAATCATTTCATTTCCTACTGCTTACATATATTGTACATATTATCTGTTATAAAAGTTTCATTAAAATTGCCAATTTATTTTCATGCAATCATACTTTACTCCACATTCAATACCATTACTTGGTTATAAAAAGAACGTTGACATGCATGTTACAATGTTAAGACAGTAAACAGTCTCTCATTTTCTTACACTTTTTGATACATCGAAGAAATGCAGTGTAATAAGGGTTGGACATATATAAATAAAAAAAGTAAATTAATTTCAAAATAAATGATTATTTATTAGCCCATTCAAGTTGTTGCAGTCTATGTTGTAAGAGACAGGTATCTAGTTTATGTTTACACAGAAATTGATTTTCAAGGAAAAGAACTGGGATTTCATACCGATAAATCTTTTTCCATCGCTTATTTTCAGGGGCTTCAATATCAACTTCTTGAAATAAAAAACGATCAGCAAAGGGCTTCAAATCTTCTTTCAATGTATCACATAAACTACAGGGGTGCTTTGTGTACAATGTTAATGTTGGTAAAGTATCTTTCATGGAGCAATCAACAGACCTGTGGAATGATAACTTCAATCATTTACGGATTACTACACTTCCATTCTTCAATACAACTAAACATATCTTCTTCATTTCTCAAAATATCAAAGAGTTTCAGAGCAGATCTCTCTGTAAATGATTTGCAACCATATTAGACCATATAATAATTTTAACAATTATACTTTTAGCTATGTGCTAATAGTTGATTAGCCCACTGGCACAGATGCATTCTATGTACTGCAACTAATTGTCTTTTCTATCAAGAATGACATTATTTAAAGTAAGCAACCTGCATTTTTATTTAAGCAGATGGATTTAATATCTAATACAATTACTGATATATGCATCAAATCTAAGAATAACCTTTTCAATGATCATCAAAGATGGGTGTCCACATTTATAAACATAGCCCATCACAGTATAACTTTCATTGTCAGTTATACCTCACAATCCTTATTATATATTAACGGACAACTTATCAGACTGATAAAAGCAAAATCCTTTACTGGTGGTTGAAATGATAAATGTAGCTTCACTATGCACATGTTTTGTTGAACTCCTTTTGCTTGTAATGGTAAGAGTAGAGGTAAGGCTAAGTTACTATTTTGTTAGCAATGCGGAAAAATCATAACCAATTCATTTACCAATGCAAATAAGTTTTCTGTAACTCGGGAACGAAAATTTCTGGTTTTTTTCAAGGGATTCTGGAATCTAAGAAAATTGGCCAACATTTGAAATCTTCATCCAGGAATTCAATTAAGACAACGTTGTGTCGTTATTAATCACAATAATAAGCACCTCCCTGTCCTCTGATCAGTGACACCTAAAGTACTAGAAACCAGGTATGGGAGTGAGTAGATTATTGGGATATGCCACAATAAATAAATGAAGTCAGAAGATGCTTGTGATATACAAAAATAATGCTTTAATCAAACCTAAGGATAACATTACATGACATCTTCTATTCTTAAAAGAAAAAGTACACACATTCAAGAAACAATTGCCAAATTGGCACTTATAGCTGCAATTTTTTAAAATATCAAGATACATATAATTCAGTACAATCTAATTTTAACATTTAAAGCTTTGACTATACATAACACTGTTCTTTAAAAATACCAGTCTTATTCGTTTTAATATTAGGAAGGCACAAATATTCCAAAATTGGTTTTAATAATTAAGATCATAGGTAATCTTTTTTCCCCAATAAGACACACGAGTATTATTAAAAAATTCTTCAACAATGTTCATTTAAAAAAGGAACTTATCTTTATTATATCTGTTATTAAAATAATTCTCTGTGTCAATAATATTCTGGTCTTCGGAGAACAGAATTATATACAACAGTTCCATCTATTTCTGCACAGGGAATTAAATTGACATTCAATCTTTCATTTTGAAACGCAAATCAGTACTCACAGCTTTTCAATTAACACAGCAGATGCCCCACCTCCTCCATTGCAAATTGACGCACAGCCTTTCTGACCTGGTTTTAAAGCATGAACCAGATGTTGCAAGATTCTGGCTCCTGACATACTGTAAAAGCAAACATATTTATATATACATAAATATACAAGGTTTTAGAAGAAAACTAAAAATGTAGTGGGTTAATTACTAACCCAATTGGATGTCCAAGACTCACAGCTCCACCATGGACATTAACTTTCTTGGGATCAATATCCAACATTTTCATATTTGCCAAAACAACAACACTGAATGCTTCATTTATTTCCCAAAGATCAACATCTTGCTTGTTCACACCAGTTTTTTCAAGCAACTGCAAGAGAATCATGAATAAACAATCCAATACCAATGAATAAGGGGGAGAGAGAGAGAGAGAGAGAGAGAGAGAAGGGGGAGAGAGAGAGAGAGAGGGGAGAGAGAGAGAAGGGGGAGAGAGAGAGAAGGGGGAGAGAGAGAAGGGGGAGAGAGAGAGAAGGGGGAGAGAGAGAGAAGGGGGAGAGAGAGAGAAGGGGGAGAGAGAGGGAATGGTTGAAATAGCTCTTGAAATAAAGAAGTCAAAATCTCTTAACAAACCTTTGGCACAGCAAATGCTGGTGCAATGGGGAAGTCTATTGGCTCAGTAGCGGCATCTTGGAAGCCAACAACTCTGGCCAAAGGTTTGCATCCAAATCTTTCAGCCGCCTTCGCAGTCATAAGCACACAGGCAGACGCTCCATCGTTCAAAGTGGATGCATTACCAGCTGTCACTGTACCATTTTCTTTCTGAATAACACAAGTTTTTAATTAACATAATATTCCACAACTATTTTCTATATTCATTTATTGCGAAAACTCAAGAATTGACATATCATCAATGCATTTAACTAGAAAAAAATGTAATATTTTTAATACTTGATCAAATTTTTTTATTGTTTTATGCCATGATTCAGTTTATTAATGGGAGATAATTTTCAAAACCTAAAAAAGTAAATAATTTGTAACATCTAAATTTAATTTTAGATATGAAATTCAAAATTGTCATTGTTAAAAGTTGACACTTAAAAAATAGTAACATAAAATATCTAGCAAAATAAGGCGAACCAGGGTGTATTTCATTGAAAATTATATTCAAAAGACAATGAGAATCTGAAATTTGTTTCATGGCCAAACAAACAACTAGAAAACTGAAATTCTCACGCAAGGGGCACTTATTTATTCATTTTCCTAATTCTCAGATTATTTAAATGAAAACTGAAAAACAGTTTCCAAATTACCTGAAATGCTGTCTTGAGGGCAGAGAATTTATCAAAATTAACCCTTTTGAATTCCTCATCCTCTGTCACAGACACAGGAGGCTTGCCTAAAAGCAAAATTTAGGTTTGTCAATAACTACGTTAAAAACATCAATTTAGATGTGACATTTGCGCTAAAAGCTGTGTTAAATACCACTAGTCAATGCCTACTCATCTTGAATTTCATGCATATTCTTCCAACAAGGTGACTCGAAACTATTTTAGGGATACATAATTTACACCAGCTATAAGACAAGAAGCAAATATTTCTATTTACTGTACATTCATACTAGCATATGCAGAAACCGATTACTCTTTGAACACCAACATTTTCTAAATTGCTAACATCATTTCTCAGTTGCTATATCTCCAAATCTCTGATATATCAATTTCACAATTTTTTTATTGGAACTAGGACAGCTATTCCCAATAAATGTAAGGCTTATCACATTGATTCATGTTTGCACATTCAGAAGAACATGTAAAATGAATAATAACGGCAAAAAGTCTTATAATATTAAGTACACAAATACACAGTTATTTGTCATAAGTTAATGCATTAGTTTTACTGTACATCTAAAAACTTCAGATTACACTTATTCATTGACTAATCACAAACAGCCAGATACTAATATTATAAACTGTTACAACCTAACACCCTGATTGCAAGATAAACAATACAGCAATTGCTCATTAAACATTGGAAAACAATCAATGAGGGGAATAATGTCTGTTTATACTTTTTTTTAAATTTGCGTTAACATCAATTAGAAATTAATCAAAAACTACTCGTTTCTTCAAAAAATTGTACATAACATTTTTTAAATATCTAATTTTTTGAAATTATTTTAATTTAAAAAAATCTCTATCATCAATATTTTACTTTTGCAAAGTTAATTTTTTATTGTTGCAAACATTAAAATTCGGAGCCGTTAGAACAACAGATTTGGAAAAAAATTCTATCTTCAATACTGCACTTGTAGCTAGATTATGGAAATAAACTAAATTGTTAAAATTTTCGAAACTTCTGAGATTTTAATGAAAATAAGCCTTGCGCCATTTTTGAGCATCCTTTTCATTATCCGACGACAAAGGTTAATGAACAATAAAATGGAACCATCCCTAGAAAATTTAGAAAATGGTGAGGCTCCATGTAAAGTATTCCCCAAAACCAAATTATCCATTCTGACTTGCAGAATCTCGCATTAGTCCATATCGATAGGGTATATCAATTTTTGAAAAAAATGTTTGCACATTTAGCCTGGGTTAGGCGCTAACTTTGACCTGACTGACGTTTTGCCGACAATCTATTTTTCGCTATCAAAGAATTCTTCTTTTGCTTGCAGTGGTGGAAGTAGAGGTAATGGCAAATTACTATTTTGTTAGAAATGCAGAAAAATCAAATATGCATTTCGTTTGTCGTTACAAATAAGTTTTTCTATAACTTGGGAACGAAAATGTTTAGCTTTTCAAATGTTGCTAATATTGCGCTTTTTCAAAATGTATTTTAATTTATTTATTTTTCCCTAATTGTTACTAATCTTTCAACTATTTATTGTTGAGATGGGATGGGATTCTGGAACTTAAGAAAACATACATCACACAGTTTTTTACTGTTTTTTGACTAAATGAATGAAGGCCCCACAACACGTTATTTCTGACTACACCACGTGTTGGAGGAAGTAATTTACTACACTTACTACAGAAACAAGATTTAACCCTTTATTCGTTAACACGGTCCGTCAACATTACATTTTCTTTCAAAAAATCGCAATTTCCGCCGCAGAATTACAAAAAACTCTCTTTACTACATAAGCACGTAGTACAGCGAAAAAGTATACGCTAAGTATACGTATAGGTCTGACAGATCGGTTATTGAACTGGGGAGTGGGGATGGCAGAGTCTTGTCAGGACTTGTTCTTGCAGACCTGTCACAACGTGACATGTTCACGTTCGTAGCTGCTCGTAGTTCAGTTCTGCTCAGTTCTTTGTACACTCCAAACAGGACTATTCTTGTGATACAACCATTCATATAGGTGTTGTACGGTGAGTTCAGTGCGAGGCTTCGTAAGTGGAACTTAACTTCTTTTATTTGCATGTGTGTTCTTTATTTTGGTTAAAAGATAGTTGACCAGAACAAGAGTTCAAACTTCACATTCGTTGAGAGCTTTCAACCCGTCAGAATTCGCACCGAATTCCCGAACAGGAATTGTCGAACTGGGTCTGAGATACATATCAGTGTGTAAAAATACTGATTTACTTTAAACATTACTGCGAACATTATTTAATATGCTACAACTTTATAATGGAAATATATTCTTGAAGTGTAGCTACAAGTAAAAAAGTATTTTTTAAAAATATTATTGATTATGGAGGCATTATCTTTGTTCACGCATCCTTTACAAAGCCAGAAATGAGCTCTTAGGAAAGAAATCTGAGTAGTTGCCCTTGGAACAATAATACTTAATGTTTCCTTATTTTCCTTAAAATTCTTGTTGCCCTATCTTTGGAATTTGTTCAACTATAAATATGCAAATGTTGTTTCAGCTTGATCTTCAGCTCATCTCTGACAAGTTCAAGACTCTGATTGTTGAAAAAATAGGTGTAAGTTACTGATGCAATTAGAAATCATAATTGAATAAAATCTAGTGACAGTCACCACAATATTATTTACACTTAAATTCTAAATGCAACAGCAAATTGCTCACATTTAACTATGTTGACTTCCTTCCTCTGGACATATCTTTTTTAATTGTTTATTACCAGTATCTTTACCCTTTTCCTATAAATCATATTCACATTCATCTATTCAAAACAAACTCTTTGTATTTAATCCTAACCCCCAAAAAGCTCTATTTGTCTATTCTTTGTGACTAAGATTAACTTCCATAAAAATACATTTAAAATGTGTATAACTAATTGAAAAATACATAACTCAAAAAGTCACTAAATGATTTCACTATTTCATATGGCTAAAAGTAAATTTAATAGTAAATATTCACTAGGAACTGTCAGTATTTTGTGACACCAATGGTCGCAGCTGATCTATAGGATTTCACAGGTCTCAAAACTGTTATTCCTCAAAACTTGTTACAAGAAAGTCATTAGCTACAACACAATAATGTAACTAGAGATAAAAGTAAGGTACTAATATATGGAAAATAAGATCTATCACATAGCCTCCTACTGGAGAAACAATGAATTAATTGATCTGTGTCTCAAGACACCTTATGAGCTCTACTAGGTTAAGGGAGTGGACACATGGGGTTGTGTGTTACAATGGAATACAACTTATAATAGAAAAGAAGATCCCGTTTGGCGAGTGGTTTTTGAACATTTACACAATCTTTCAGAAATTACGCAACGACTTCTTTTTATCATTTCCAAATGTCCGAGCCGTTGTTCAGAAAATTGCTCTCAAAATTACATGAGTATCATATGGCAAGATATCAACGTGAGTTGTTCTATGTAATCAGAAGAAATGCTTGCATGTGCACTTCATTAATTAACACCTTTCAATATTGAATCTCTTCATTTTGTGAAAGCAAGAACTTGTATCGCATCGCTTGTTTAACGCGACTAAGCGCACGTCGATATACTTCGATTTACAGCTTCATTTGACAGATCAGCTGTTACGCTATCATCCAATCGGGAGCTTCCACGTCACTACGGTGAAGTCACTATGATTACGTTCAACCTCTCGATTGGACGACACCGTAACAGCTGATTTACGTCAACTGAAGCTATGTTTATATCGAAGTATAGTTCTGCGAGTGTTCTCCTCGCTATGAAAACCTAAGAAGCTGCAACGTCCGACAGGAACAACGTACGCATTCTAACGGCTATCGTCAGTTGGACGCGTTCCGCGACGGACGTTGCATGGCACAGGAGACTGCAGGGCACTTTTGACACGACCCGTAAAGGCCTATTCACAATGTAAACGTAAACATAAAAGTTAGGACTACGTCCATAAGCGGACTCATTCATAATGCGTTCGTATAAGCCTAACCCGTAAGACGTTAACTTAAAAGCTTGCAAGCATCAAGCTTCCGTGCTCATGCTTACGGGAGACATAAGAAATGAACCAATCACAGAACGGTAACTCAAAATCGAGAATCGAAATTGGAGCGAAGTCGATAGAGGAACTGACGACATATGGAACAGAGTTTATATCTTTGATCGATTCTCATATCCAACCAGAGTGTCTCACAGATAACAGAAACTTATTTTGCTAACGTTTATGTTAGGCATTGTGAATACTTTAGTCTATCCAGTCTACCGCTTATGTTAATCTGTATAGCTATGCGCTATGCTTATGATTACATTTGCAATGTGAATGGGCCGTATGTGAATGGGCCGTAATTTTAATTAACAATTTAGTCACACCTCTTCGCATATACCAAGGATGCACCTAACCAGATACCCAGAAAGGAGTTTTGATAGCACCACAGATGTAGAGACCCAAATCCCCTGGTTCCGCAAAAACCTAAGCTATAATATCTGAGCCTTCCTCCCACATTGAGTGTATGTTGCTCAAAGGAGACCAGCACCAGTTATTACCATCTCAAAATTTCAATCAAGAGGCATACGAGGTTTAGTATAGCCTATGGATCAATGTTAGGATGTGAATATACCTCCTTGCCGTGTCACCATTTTAACAGTATTTTTAACTGAATCATCATACACATGTGCACAGAGAATGGAGACAACGTATCCCTCTGAAAATATTAAAAGGGGACACCTAGCCAAAAGTAACAACAGTTTTTCCTGGGAAAAAAAAGAAAAAGGAAGTAGGGGATCAAGGGTTTAATACTCAACCCCTACTCCCCCTGATGATTTGAAGACTCATCAGGACATGCCATTTTAGGAAGAAGCTCTCCAAACTATCACTATTGTATATAGTTCAATATAAAATGAAGCTTGTATATTTGTAGTTTCTGTTTAATTTGAAAGTCCATAATTTCTTTCTCCTTGAATATTTTGTTTATTAACTAGTAAATTAAGTAAATATAAAAGTTAACTGGAAAATGGGAAACAAAAATTTTGTTGGTCCCCTCCTGTTTTAGGATGCCCACGCTTATGTGAAACATACTTTGTAAAAAAAACAGTTAAGCCAATTTTGAAACACATTTTACTCACCTTTCTTTTGAGGCACACTGACGGGTACTAATTCATCTTTTATAGCAGCAGATTTGTATGCATCAGCACTTTTTTTGTAGCTTCCTATAGCAAATTCATCTTGGTCTTTTCGTGAAATATTGAGATTCTTAGCTGTATTTTCAGCACAATTTCCCATATGAATATGATTGTACACATCTGTTAAACCATCAAAAACTATACCATCCTGTAAATAAACATTTGATGTTCAATGTAACCCTTTAAATTTGCAACAAATTAACAGTGCTTTGTCTTGCCAATTCATGTTACTCACCAATAAATTTACACCACCATAACTTGTTTCCCCACGTTTCAGATAGAATGGAACATTTGACATAGATTCCATTCCACCTGCCAGTACCACTTCCTGGTGACCACACATTAAACTTTGAGAAGCTAGCATGACAGCTTTCATCCCTGATGCACACACCTTATTTACAGTAGTGCACACAGTGCTCTTCGGAAGACCTGCAAACAACGCAGCCTGTCGGGCTGGAGCTTGTCCAAGACCTGCTTGGCACACATTCCCCATATAAACTTCTTTGACTTCTTCTTTTGGAATACCAGCCCTTTCTATGGCAGCCTGGAAAATAATGTGGCCATTTATTTATAAATGGCGATGACACAAAAACCTTTACGTTTGTTACAGAACTCTCTTTCTGACTGTTGACTAACTTATTATATAATCACCTGAATAGCAATGGAGCCAAGTTTCGGGGCAGAAAGCGAGGCTAAAGATCCACCAAAAGATCCCATAGGAGTCCGTGCGGTGGACACGATCACGACTTCATTCAGTTTCACATCGGAACTGAACCTCCTCAGTTGTCGCAAAAGCACCTTCAAGTAGAAATCAAAGGTTCACAATTATCGTGCACGAAGCTGTGCCAATAAACTTGCATAAAAGTATAATTTAATGAATTATCAACATGGTTACCTTTTAAATTTATGATAAGCCAAATTTAAATTAACATACCTTCTTGCTAAGGTGTGTAGACATCATGATTCAAATTTAGTTGCAGCTTCACGAGCACTAGTCCTTGAAAACGAAACCCGGCACCTTCTGTGATGAATATACGAATTATGTTTGACAACGCAAATAGTGCTGCCGGTATCTCTCAACAAACGCACGAATGAATTGCAAAATACCGACAGTAATCACCTTCCACGTCAGTGATGATAACTACATTCACAAGTACATAAAACTACTAGGGCCCGATGTTACCACCCAGAGTAACACAACCACATGACGTGCCGATATGTTGAAATCCTTGACCAGTAAGCAGCCCAACCTGACCTGCATCGCTCTCATGACCCATGACACTTGGTTTCAGCGACATCACGCGGTGAATGAGGGAACTTATCTGTTTGTTTTTTGTTTTTTTGACCAATAAAGACGTCCAGAATGACTTACAATATTTGGCGGGAACATTACGCGTCAAAAACTGGTGTGCGCATAGGGGTTTCTTAGAGAATATCTAGTTTGTAGCTGTGTTATACTGTTGTCGAGGTTAAGATTTCCTTTCACGGTTGTTATTTACAATTATATTTGTTTTATTCCGATTTATGTAGGTTCTGAGTGCGCATTTCGTTCACAAATGTGATTTAAAGAAGTACTATTCTATCCATGATGAAAAGATTATTTACGGTTCTATCACGCGTACATCAAGTCACTACCTTTTCAGTGTGGTTCGAAGAAAATTTTATCGTGACCTTAGCGCTGATGCTATGGTATTACACTGTAATAAAATGAAATGTATGAATGAATGATTGGATCCACGTGCCCTTTAAAAAATTATATTAATTATTGACATTGAGAGAAATATTACATACATTAAAAGTTATTATCGTTCGGGAAAAATCTAGAATGTTCATAGACACAGTTCCAAACATTGTTTTCGTATTTTTTTCTCTGAGTGAAGGATCTTTCAATACTAATTATCCTAAATGTGATATATTTTAACGTATTAATTATTATAAATGTACGTTATTGAAAAATATAAATAAATATAATTTTATATCACATTTAAAAAATACATTTGCAATTTCCTGTCCTGAATTTCAATATTCAAGGCATGTAATAAAAATAACATTTATTATCCACAACGATTTCAATGTGAACATTTTTTACCAAACGTATTTTCAATAATTTTGTTTACCAAATTTCAATGTACAATTGATGCCATTTCTTGCAATTTAGGACATAAGTTTTGATACTCCTTGTGACAAAATTAAACAGTTGATTTGGTGAGCTACGAAGTATTTACACAAATAAAGTCTTGCAGATGCACAAAATTATTGTGGCTAGTACGTATTATGAAGCTGTATTTCTTCAATATGTTGGGACAATGAATACAAATGACAACTTCTTTATTGTGAAAGCTATATCCTTTTTTGTGGGTTCATCAATTTTGTACAAAAAATGAAGGCTAATTAAAGGATCTAGGAAAAACGTTCCAGTCAATATTTTTCCACAAATAAAGGATGGACGAAGATAATCAGGTAACACATCCATAATACACAAAAGCCCCATATTAATATATAATTCTACACAATATTAAAGGTTAATGTTAGGCTCTTGAAAAACAATTGTTCCTGTCCATATTTTCCAAAAAAGAGCAGTATAAAGAGAAACATGTTACATCCATTTTTACGGGCTAATGTACAAGAAAACTCATACATGGCAGAAACTAGTGGTGCTACAGAATGGCACCGACTTTTTCGTACTAGTTAGGTTTCTAATTTCTTTGGTGTGAGCTAGCTTTTCGGACTTACCTCATCCTCTTGCCAGATGACATCTATCGCCACCTATTTACGCCCCATGTACATTTTTTAAACAATTTTCTCATTTTTGGTTTCCTATTAGTAGGTCCGAAGTATCACCTTAAGAATATTACAGAATAGTATTACTACGTCATAAATGAAAATTTTCATTGAAAAATTTGGAGCAATATTTAAGGAAATGACGTTTAAGCCTTACTGTAAATGCGAAATTTTGAGTTTTGAAAAACCTTCATTGGATTTTGATTGATCGGGGAATGTTCATTTTGGAAAAACTCGTACAAATAGTTTAGGGGCTATTGTCATTCGCAGACATGGACTGTTGATTGATAGATTACTAATGATCCGTTCTGATTACTAGTGTTCCGTGAGCGCCGTGCAGTGCCGTGAGTGCCGTGAGCAGATGCCCTGAGCCCCCTCGTCGGTCGGACGGGCGGATTAAACGGCACTTCCAGTCACGGGCAGCTTACAGGTCCCATTACACACTGTATGTATATTACCGCTTACGCAATAGAGAAAAAGTTTGTAATGCTGCGCGAAAAAACAGCGAACTTTTGGCAAAAAAAAACTCTTATTACAAGGCCCTGATAACGAAAAAGTGGTTAAATTCAGTTGCTAACTTTAGGGAAAAGGTCCTCTAACAACATCTGCTCCCGCGGGCATTCTGCACAAATGAGCCTGCCGTCTGCCCGCGAGAGATGCGAAAGTGCAAGTAGTGGGGATTAAGTAGCTTTGGGGGAAGGGGAGATGCCGGAGCGGAATTGAATTGAATTGATTATTATTGACCTTATTTTTCGTGGCGAGACTCGGGCCATGAGGCCTGCTCTTCCGTCTGACCACGCAAATTTCGCTACGCTCCTTTCACCAACTAGTGGAGAAATGAGGTATTCCTTGTGCGAGAAAGAGGCGATTTGAATTTAGCTCAGAGGCTCTTTTACATGCAAGTAAATCTAGACACTATACTTCCCCTCCGAAAAAAGGCGTATAAAGGATTTTTTCGCCCTTAAAAATCCTCGGCTTCGATCGGGTTTGAAACAGCCAACTTGGGTACAACAGTCCGGTATGCTAACCGTTACACCATCGCCGCGCGCAGCGGCGGATTTGACGCAGCGCGAAAATTGAATGCCGAGCTGTCTATTGCAATGATCCATGTTGAGAAATCATTTTCCCACTTATTTAAATCGGCAATCTACCGTATTTCCAACTTCAAGGGCCGTATTTCGCTTTTCAAGTTCTTATGTGTACCGCTAGCTGTCGACATATTTTTATATATTTTATTTTTGCCTTATGCTCATTGTAACTTATAAACAATATTTTAAAACAGTGACCTCTTTTTAAAATGTATTATGTACTTTTATATAACAAAAAATTACAATTTAATATTTGATTTTTCACCAGAATTGTTATCATCTCCAAATGATAGCAAAACGGAGGAAAGAGCGGTCTCTCACATCGAGATCGATTTAAAAATGAAATACAGTAGAACCCCGGTAATTCAAACTAATGGGGGGGGGGGGCTGTTCGGATTCAGATTATCTGAAAAAATGTACCGTACATTATTTACTAGGCTGTCCGGGTGATGCCGCGTCCATGGCGAAGGTGCCGACGTTTCGGTCGCCACTCTGCGACCTTCTTCAGGGCATTACGCGTCACCCGGACAGCCTAGTAAATACTGACTCCGGCCGCGGAAGCCTACGCTCTCACCTGTACCGTACATTTACAAAAACATCTGTAGGATTACCAGACAGTGAAATGTAACGTGCAAGGTGAGAAAATGGCAACGTAGCGTAGCGATCGCATCGTCACGTCGCATTGTAAAGCAGATTCAGTTCCATACGGTACATGAAGATCACTGATTTTGGAAGTTCCTCTAAGCGAAAATTACTGCTACATAAACATGTGATATACACCTTAGTCACCAGTGCAACAAACGTTTGATTTCGATAACTTCTGTTTCGATAAATAGTTGTTCAGTTGTACAGTAATTATAAAATCCTTCCTTTACACTACAAATAAGTATTTTTAATTATTTTGCTTATTTTTCCTCCATCCCTATTTTTGTTCGCATTATCCGAAATTTCGGATTTGCAGTGTTCGGATTAGCGAGGTACAACTATATAGTCAATTCCAAGAAGGGTAATGTTTGGCATTGTAACCATTTTACCTTATTATGAAACTGAATAAGAGATACCAATGACCAAACCTCCTTTACGATATTTTACTGTCAATCATAAGATTATAATGAGTCTTGTTAAAAAGAACGCAAAGGGCTTAATCTTTTTTATACGATATCCTAAATGTTTATGAATAAGTAGTGTTCGTTGATTTAAAATTAGAAATATAATGTACTCTTGTCGGAAATTAAAGCGGAAAGTAATCTTGTTTTTTAAGAATATTACAAGCAAGAATAAGATTGCTGTTTGTTATTTGTGAAGGTACTACTCCGGCACTCGCCTGGTATTGATCGGAAAAACCACGGAAAGCTACCGATCAGAGCAGCCGTCCTCTCGAATTCTTCTCCAGGCAGTGGCTGGATCCGAGTGTCGAAAATTCTGGCATTGTCGGACCTCGAACCCAGGGCCTCCCGGTCAGAGGCTCTGTACTGATCGGGATCAGTTCATGCCCTGAGCCACCTTTGCCGCTTACAAGTGCGTTGAGTTACAGAGCACGACAGTCTCTTAATGAACTCAGCCAATATCGATGAAAATTCTGTGCTAGCTTCCTTTGAAAGTCATGAGTACTATAGGCTTTGATTTTCAACCATAAACTTTAATATACTAACAACATAACGTTTGGCGTCACGGATTCAAGAGCGTTTCAATATGCTATAGTTTAGCTCAGGGTTGTCCAAATGGCGGCCCGCGATCATAGAGGAGAGAGATCTCTACTCTATGCCCGCGAAACGTTATTGGTCAAAATGAAAGTCTCTTGCATCGATTTGGGGGAGAAAAATTACGCGCCTAAGGTACTCGCCATTGCGGCCAACATTATGTAAAAATACGTTGTTTAGATTTAAGTTTTTTTGTTCTAGTAATTCAGAAATTCAAAATCATATCATTGTTTTCCTACGTTAGGTATGGTACGGCCTGATAACATGCTTGGTTCGTTTTCTCGCCCCCCGCCCTCGAGTAGCCGGGCCGAAATCAATATAGGGAAGTCGGGTATGGGTCGCTCGATTAATGAAAATTTTGGTGGCTCCGCAACCAAATTAAAAGTTTTATTTGTGGCCCTTGAGGCCTTGCAAGTTGGACATCCCTGGCTGCTAGCCACCAGATGACGACAGATCAATGATTGAGTTCAATACACAGAATTACGTATTATATCTATAAGATAGGAGAGAACTGCTTAATTCAATTGTCTAATGCGATATGTTCATGTTTAACAATTATGAGTTTTTCTTTACTCTATTTACAAAAGTAACGTGTACGTTGGTTTTATATTGCGTCTAGACGTGATAGTATTACGTGTACAAGCTATATGAAATTATTGAACGAAGTCATTTTGCTGTCGTATGATATAGTGTTAAAAACGTATGAATGCATACGTGTGTTCCGCGTGAAATATTGTTGGTTTACTTATAAATTAAGCGTGATTATTTCCTTTATGAGAGCCGCACGAGCAAAAGTAAAACAATTTTTGAATGATTTACGTGTTATGCTTAAACTGACAATGCATTTTTGTAATGGTTTTATTATAGTGGAGAGTGAAGGCTTTACCTTTGGACGGTGAAGGAATAATGTTCTTTATAAGGTTCACGCAACACCCAAAAAATTGCACAAAATAGAATACACGCTTTATTACAATCTCTTTATTAGTATGACTTTCCTGCTCTAATGATTTCCCTACCAGTATTACACTGACGAACCGATATGGCTACGTTGCTGTTCGTTTTCGAAACATCACGCTCCTTAAGGACCATAGGGCATCACGTGACGGCGCTTCAGTTTTCATAGGGATCATGTTCATACACCGTGAGCTCCGCTTGATGCAGCACTTGTCCGGCTACGCGTTTCTCAACTCCCGTCTCCCTCCCACTGTCACAAAAAGTACACCCGATACCGATCCGAAGTTTCGCATCTGATGTTGGTAGACTCAAAAGTGAAGTGTAGAAAGGTATTTTACATCTCTGGTTCGAATAGCTTAGTGTACATGCATCGTGGTGTTCAATTATTTTAACCAAGAAGCCTTTTCTGAAAATTGAAACAACTGAAATCAAAACTAGTTTCGTCAACTATTCAGTGCTAATATTTGATGTACAAGTGACGTGAATGTGAGAGAAAAAAATTTTGTTTTCCTTGCATCTTATTTAGCAAGGAGGAAAGTTTGTGAACAAAGACCGGTTATGGCATTTGAGTGGGAAACAAACATCAAGCGACAGTAAAGAACTGACTTTACTTGAATATTGTAATTTGGTTTAGCAACAGCTATTGTCTCACTGTAAAACGAAGAGCACAAGAATAGATACTCTGGACACTTGAAAACTCAAATTTGAGGGGTATGACAAAAGCAAATCTGAAAACCATGGGATTTTCTAGGGTTAGCAGATTTTGTTAGTACCATTGATAGCGCTTTAAAAATAAACAGCAAATTCAGTACAGTACTGTTGCAAGGAATGCACTAGTCTGAATTCTTCCCACTACTCAGAGGCTGAATGATCATTTTCAACAATGAAGAGGATAAAAATTCGTAGAAATAGGACAACGAAATAACCACGTGCCTTTGCAATCCTGTCAAATACTAGTAATCAACAACTTATCGGTGAAACCAGTAACTTCAATGAATTGGTGACAGAATTAGTTCAGCTGAAAAATCAACTATTGGACTTTCAATTGAAGTAAACAATTTCCTCATTTCTAGATACATTGATGAAGTTGATAATAAATGTCTCATTCAGATTGTTGCCTAATTAAAGCTATTGTAACATGGAGAGTACGTTCAAAAGTAATAAAAAGCAATAAATAAGAAATTAGAGCATTTCTTTTCCAAGATTGGTTGTCATTCTTCAAAAATTCTCTGGTCAGGTTGCAACAGTCCTGTAGTGTACATAGATATTTCATAAAAGAAAAGAATCTTTGTATTAACTGGCAACCTGTAGGTTCTTTAGCACTTTCAATGCATTTAATTTAGTTTTTTACAAAATTTTGGAGTAAAGAGGGCAAGTAACATTTACTTTGAATTTCACATCTATCAAAAAACTTAGCATTTCTGCACAACATGAAACACCTACACAATATAAACTCACTCAAATTTCAGTGAATTTGCAAACTATTATTGTGTAAGAATTACATCAAATCTGTACTCTCCCAGAATTAACAGGTGCAGTCACAAGACACTAAACCATGTGTGATACATGGTATTACTCACAAATTTTCTTGAACAATGACCTTGCTTCCCCATCTTTGGCACAAACAGTTGAAGGCAAAAGCTCACAGCGAGCACTGGTGACATTCCAAACAATCTTTACTGGTGTGAAATAAAAAAAATCTCTTTTGAAAGCAAGAACTTCTATTCGTTATTTTCTCAACAACAAAAAAAGGCAGGAGATATCTCAAACTTTTGAGAAAGAATATATTGAGAATGTGAAGGCATGACTGATTCTCCAGACTGGCTTCGATTCATAAAAACTGGTGGCCAATTTTATAACTAATACCCCACTACCTGCATTTCTTCAATCCATTGTTCAAAAAAGGTTGCATGAGCAATACACGATGATAGACTCAATTTGTGGTAGCAGAGTGTGCTGTAACTATGTACCTTTCATGGTTCATGTTGATGGGCTGCTATAGTCAGGCAGATACCAGAAATTGAAATCAATACTTAAGGGCACGATTGCAATATCGTTAACCGAAACGACATTTGGTCAGCAATAGTTTCTGCACAAGCTGCCTATTACCCAATTAACACAGTCTTGTGACCACAGTTGAGGATGTTTTCAAGGTTTCTTCAATTTAAAAAAAATTGATTCTGGTGTCAAGGACTCCAGGTTTGGTGACTGACCTCTGTGTTAATTGTCTTTACTGCTACAATTTCTATTTGAAAAGCTGGCAAGAACAAAATTCATCAGAAAATTGAAAGTTCAAAACAAGGTTATCAAAAACCATTTAGTTTAATATATTAAATTAGCAGTATTTATATTACATAGCATAAGCTTCTGAAGCACACTATTTTACATTTTCTTCATTCTTCTCTTTGTACATGCAAAGAACTCATTTCCATCAAAGGCTCATACACAACATTATGAACAATACTTGAGAAAGGCAATTTTATCTGTCCAACTTCACCATAGACTGCCATAAATATTTTTATATATATACATAATACATGCAAATGCTTTGGTCTGTTAGTCCTTCCTCAAGCCTCAGAATTATCACGATAAGAAAGCCCTCACAGTAGCGGTAAGAGGTTTCCGACAAATTGGACAATTTTCAATTTTAGGAGCACATTTGACACACGCAACAAGATGTCCACAGGGTAGGAACACTACCCCTAACTCCTCTTGGAGACAAATTTTGCACAACCTGTCACTTGATGGTTCAGGAGATTTCTTTGCAGTCTGCTGCAATTCTGTGGAACTGGAAAAGAAAAGAAAAATTAGAAACAGAAGTATTTTACTGATAGGCTTGTAAAAACCAAAATGAGAAGCGAATTAATTTTTAGGAGACACTTAAGTCACTAATATTTATTTTTCTTCATGTGTGTTATTACACCATTATATTTATAAAATAAAAGTATTAAGGTACGAAAGCAAAGGGGTTCATTGCTCCATAACTGTTTCAAGACTACAAGTACCTCCCTCCAGATTGAGTTGATGAGTATACTGAATTCCCAACACTTTACCAATTTGTGACCGAGTCAAGACCACTTCAGGAAATTCAAAGATTTTTTTCCAAATGGAAAACCATTTTCATTTTCGTAAGTGGTGTTCTAAAGAGAAAATGAACTAGCTGTTAACTTTTATAGTATGTGCAGCACATTATACAGAAAAGCAAGGATAATTTCACACAAGCTTGCCTTGATTGCATCAAAGTGATCTTCCAATTTTTCAATACCATAATTACCAATCAAACCCTTTCGAAATAAAAAGACTTAATTGCTAGGTTTTGGTAAACCTGTTACCTTTCATTAATCAACACCCTTCATAAGAATGTGCATCTTACAAAGACAAAAGTTGCACACTTGTTATAGCACTGCATATTACAAATATGTTCTGCAAAACCAGAGAATCATCTCATTGTGAACTACATGTGAAATATAACAACTACATGTAATGACACTCCTTACACAATGTACAACTTGAAAATAGAGTTGTTTATCACATTCTTCTACTGATATATCTTCCCAAATATAATATAGTTGGTGCATTAAGACTTTAACATTACAGTTAAATAAAGCCTCCTGACATTCTGTTTATGTCTACCTGCAAGAATGAGAAGAATTCTTAGCATTTTAAACTGTTGTATCACCATATAGCCATTTTCGAAGTTACAAAGCATAGGAAATTCGAATTTGCAATTTTTAAAAATATAGAGTTCAACAGAAATGTGGCCAGCACTACTTCCTTTACTGTTTTCTGCTATACACAAAAAGAAAAAAATTGGAGTTGCTTTGGGAAAAACAATGGTTTAAATCCAACATTTCCTACAATTCCTGCTGAATTCTGCAAAAAATTGATCACTACATTTGAAAATCTGTTTTTGATGAACAGATTTCATTTAAGAAAAAAATTCTATCTTTATTATTGCAGTTGTAGAGAGACACCAAAGAATTTTTGAACTGCATCGATTTTCAAAAATCCAGAGCGAACAATGAAAATGTAACTATACCATTTCTTTGTGTGTCTTGCTCTACCAGAGGAAAAATTTAAAGAAATAATTAGAGCCATTTTTGAGAAAATTTTGATAAGGTTTGTGAGGCTTCGTGTAAAGTACCAGCAAAATATTAGTATTAAACTCCCAAAGCATAGAGTTAATTAAGATCAATTGGGGAATATCTATCCTTTTGAAGAAAATCAGATGAAAGTTAGCATGGACCACAAACCAATGGACAGGCAGACAAGACTTTCCCAGTCAATTGATTTTTCAGTATCGAGGACCCACAACGCAGATTCTAGCTACACTGCATTTTAGATTCCCCACCTCCCCATATCATTAGGATTTATCCACTTTTGTTTTATTTATTTTGCGTTATCCACTCCATTGTGTTATCCATTGTAGAGAAAGTAAACAAAACTTTGTTGACCTCTAGAACAGATACCCCAGCACACACACCATGATACACTTTCTCTTACTCTGACATCCTGTACCACCAATTTCACGACACTTAATACATTGGGCTTGTCCATAAAGTATACAACGCAAACAGGGAACAGAGTTCCTGCCTTGTTACATAGGGTTAAGGGGGTATTCAGTTAGTGATATGTAAACTTGATCTTTCAACATTTATTGAAATGCTTCCTTTCTTCAAGTCTTCTACTAAAATATTGACTAATTAGTTTTCAAAACATAAATAAATGAAATTTATAAGAAGTTGTTAGAATTATTTTTTTTATTAATTCATAACCGATCTGTAATTAGATTCTAAAATATACTAAAGTGACACAGTAGATCCTCGTCCCTTTATCCACAACTTAATCAGATATATTCTGCCCTATGCAAACTTCCTTCACTCCAAACTTGCCAGCAATTTTATTTGTTGGATGCATTGCCAAATAATTCTGAACATCATAAATGTAATACACAACTCCAACAAAATGAATTTAGGGGGATGCAGGTGTGTTACAGGGAGGAATGGTGGTATTCAAAACTCTCCAAACTTGCATTATGTAACTCATGAAGAGCCCCCTTTAGCAAATGACAATGCAAAATTAATGATACACTTCCATTAATAATGTATCACTATTTCTCAACCCATTGTTAGCTACATCTCTTTAGAATACCACCTTATCAAATCAAGAAGAAAATAGTGGTTTTGTATGTGTGGAGATGTAGGATGGAGAATGTAGATCAAAACTTGAAAATTGTGAGAATAAAAAATTAGTTAAGCTCTTTTAAACCATTTAAATTGGCAAGAATCACCAAAAATTACACAAAAATTTCTCAGAACAAATTTGTACATCTTAAAAGATTTCATTAAGAAAAATGGCAACTTTCAATAACAGATTTACTCTTTCAAAATAATTTAATCTATCCATCTTTTGAAAATTTAGAAGTTTTTAAGTAAAACAGATTTGCACCATTACATACAATAGTATTCTATTCTAGCAAAAAATTAAAAGGAAAAACTGAGTCATTATTGAAGAAAATTTGAAAACAATGCATTACATCAATCCACAAATTGAAACCTTTTTTCAAATTTGAGGGGCCAGAATACCAGTTGGGAATTTCACTTTCAGTTTTGGAGGAAATTGACATCTGTGCAATTTCAGTTTTGGAGGAAATTGACATCTGTGCAATTTCAGTTTTGGAGGAAATTGACATCTGTGCAATTTCAGTTTTGGAGGAAATTGACATCTGTGCAATTTCAGTTTTGGAGGAAATTGACTTTCCTGCTGTTTTACAATTTTTTCCCCTACACAGTATAATGAGAAAGTGTAAATTGATTGTTACCTACCAAGAATTTGCAGATTTCAACGTTTGCTTCTCCTCCTTAATACCAAGTTTTTCAATATCCTGTAAAAATTAAAGCACTTTATTAAGAATAAAGTAGTTTGTGACAATTCAATTCTTTATATTAGATAACATGCTTATTTGCATTTAACTGAACACATGCAGCCATTTTAGATAAACATATGAGAACCAATGTAATTACCTAAAAACACAACATTAGCGATGTTCAGCATTAAATTACGGTCACAAGTTTCAGATATGCAGAGATTTAAGATTCTGAAGTCTTAAGACTTTGATCTATTGTAAATTTAAGACAAGTCAGTTGTGCATTCATTTAAAATGAACAAATCAATTAATCCAGTCTGCCAATTAACATTAAGAGTAATTAAAGAAATACTCACTTCTGGTTGTAACAAAGGCTGCTCTTTGGACATTGCTTTCTGTATGAAGTCCTTTCCTTTGTTCAGAACAACAAATGAACACTGAGAGGACCATTTTGCATGTTCTATCCAAGGATCATCGGTTGGCTCCCAATTTCTCAAACCACATCCACAATTGAAGCATAATGTTTCATCACTCTTACCTGTAAGGAAAATACCGTAACATTCAGACTTTTTTAATACCTTGAAAACACGAAAATATACAAAAAATAAATCTGGACATATAACAGGTTTCTCAAATACATTTCTAACAATCAAATTCCATGTTTCAATAAAAAAATAACCTGTATAAAAGAAGCCTGCTTCTACCAGTTCTTCTGGTCGTGGTTTCAATGATAAAGGCCAAGTCGCAAAAGACTGCATTCGTGCATTGTAGCTTAAATATGCCCTGTGTACAGGCCCTCTACTTTTGTTAACTCCCAGCTGCTCCAGTAAGGGTTTACCTAAACAGAAAACATAACATTCTCGTTCACTAATATGCCATCAAGTCAACCCGGAAAAAAAAAAAAAAAAAAAAAAAAAAAAAAAAAAAAAAAAAAAAAAAAAAAAACAACAACAACAAACCGTTCTCAGGCCCAGAATTGGGTCTAATTTCGATGCCATATAGACCGCATTCATCGTAAACTGGATTGCTGTTTGCATTTGTCGACGAGGATGCACTGCTTCCGGCGTTACTCGCTGTTGATTTTCGTAGTAGAGGACATGACGGTGACCAACGCCTGTGTTCTTCCATTGGGTTATCCCCCTCCTCCCAGTGTGCCACTTCCACTCCACAGAAGGCACAACGAACTACATCGCCTTTGTGCAAATAATAGAATCCAGCCGTTGCCAATGAATTTTCGCTCATAAATGATACTGGCCATCCCGAAAATGTAGTTAATCTATCTTCTTTTGACTTCAAGTTCAGTGAACTTGAAGTCCTTGGTGAAAAATGTGATCGAGGGCTCACGACTGGCGCCGCCATTGAAGTATCGAAAACTCTGTTTCTCCTACCATTGTCGGAGCGTGCCATGGAAAAATTATTTTCAATTTCGGTCGCTTCTACAACCTGCAAAATAAAAATTAACTATTTGTAATGAAACCTCCGATATAAAAAAAAGTATGTTATCTTGCACGACCAAGAAAGCAAAGCAGACATTCCAGAACCATTCAAAGCAACAAAAACTTTCATTCAAAGTACTACAAAGATATAAATAGTCAATACTCTATACCTTGTAAGCAAACAGCTCCCTCGAAGTTTGACTGTTGGCAGCTCAGACGGAAAGAATTACACTATATCTATCACGAAAAATTGATGAGAAACACGCGAAAAGTGACTACGCCCTCTACCAGACTGCCACTTCCCCTACTATTGGCTACGCTATTCGTCATAGGTGGAGGGGAGTTTCGTGGAAACGACCGTGACGGCGTGCTACGTCGCGTCCGGCGACGACCTTTCACGGTATTCCAGTGTTGCCATTTGATAACTTGTGTTCAAAGTCAAAATAAACATTATCGTTAACACGAAGAAATGATTTAATTTCGTTTTTAATGATATACAAGGAGAATAAGGCAAACTTCAAATTCAATAAATGGGTAATATTGTAGACTTCAGTAAAAATCATATACTATTCGAGTCTATAACAACACACTTCCATGTCCGAAGTATCTAACACATCATTTTCGATTTCCGTTGCAGCAAATCATTTTCAATTTTAAATTACGAACTTCATAATTCATTTTTGTGGTATTCAATAACTCGTTAATATTTCCATAGATTCTTTTCGTCCGTACTATTTCTACTTGAACAAACTTGTTGGTAAAATTGACACCTCTGTAGTCAACTCATTCATTCTTAACAAAAAAAAAAAAAAAAGTTATCAGAAGTAATAATATTCTACAAGAAATTGACATGAATTCAACTTCTAAAAAATGGAAATAAATAACTACACATTTTATTTTTACTCAGAAAGTGTTTCATTCCGCAAAATCTTATCTTCATCTCTACAAGCCTTTTGTACAATTGGCAGAAGAGGTCGAATCTCCAGGAATAATAAGATATAAAGGTTTACGACTCCATCTTCAGAAATTCCATTATCGTCATAATTAGTCATAACCGCGGTGCATACGTCAGTGTAGCGAAAGAAGATAAACGAGCCAAGTATTGCTCTCACCACTGTAATATCGATAATGCCATTCTTGAGCATCGATGTGAGAAAAATTGTAATTGTGTATTCAATAATTTATTGTCTAGTCCGAATCCGGAAATAATTCTCGTTTTTTCTCAATTCTTGGGAGCCTTAACCAGGCCCATCAAAAACAAAATTGGGCTCTATAATTTCTAAGTGTAGAACATGTTTCGGAAAGTAATACTGTAATAATACTTTTTCACACATAATTTGTATTTTACTTCAAAATTGTTTACTAACTTGTTATGTATGGAAGATAAAAGGAACACTAATAGTAACTTAAATGCCAAAAGAATTTTGATTTTTCCACTCAGAATAATTTCATACACAGAAAATGATTAATGATAGATTAATAGATCATTAATTGACCATCTGAAATCAGAATGCAATCCATTTCAGAAAATTAGTAAAAGAAAATATATTTCTTAAAAAATTCTAGGATTGTTGGGAGTCATTAAATTCATTAGAGAAATATTTTGGAATTTTCAGATTCAGCTCCATGATGTGATCACTACAAATCTTGAGGATGATAAGAATAAAATTTGACCTTACCTTTCTAATCAGGCAGCAAATCATGACATTTCAAAATGCATGGTTTCAATCAGGACATTTTTAACACTGTGCCAACTCAAAACAAGCAAACAAAACCCATCCACCTGTACTCCCATATCCGAGAGAAAAAAATACAAACATAGAGATTCAATATACAGTGAGTAGTTATAGAAATTTGAGTAACAGATGTGCAACCTACATAACATTGTCATACAATGTAGGCTTTCACGGCCGGTTTCCATATCAAAATCAGTTGTTTCCGGGCTTGAAGGCCGTGGCCCAATGGAGACTTGGACCCTCAAGTCTCCATTGGACCACGGCCTTCAAGCCCGGAAACAACTGATTTTGATACATAACATTGTGTTTACTTAAGAATAAATATCTTGGAAAAGTATTATATGAAACAATATTTAAAAAAAGAGACAAAGGAAGATTTTATAGAAACAAATAATAAATTGCAATTGGCTTTAAATTGCCATTAAGACTACCTAGTCAAAAAAGCACCATCTCTACCAGATTTATAGGCGTATTTTTCTTTCTCACTCTCCCATTTAAACATACATGTGCAAAACCTGATATTTTTAACAATTTCTTAAAATATTAATTTACAATTTAAAAGATCTACTTTTATACATTTTTACATTAAATTATTACTCAAAGATATCATGTATATTGAAATACCAAATAATGCTTTAGAGGGAATGTTAAAAATTATGTAAGAACAAAAACTTTAAAAGAAGAGAAAATAAAGGAAGAAAAGGTAAAAGAATGTAAGAGAATCAAAGGTTTTCTAGAATTGCATATTTTATTTGTTTTTATATGCAAGGAAATGTTATCCCTTTTATAGGTTGTAAACAATATGGAATTCATATTAAGAGCCTCCCCTCGCATGAGTCTGTGAGATGCGTAAGAAGCCACTTCGTTCTTGGCTGTTCATGATGAGCCACATCTGTTTAATTGTGGCTGATGTTTCGACTATCAGGCTTCCGCCTTATTTAGAGCAATATTGGTTCTAGTTGTCCATTTGAGTCAAACTATAGAACCTTTAGAGCACTTTCATTGAACACGACATGTGTATGTGAAAATTAAAAAATTAGATTACTGTGATGATCACAAGTGAATTTAAATTATAATTTATGATTGCTTACAAGCAAATGTGTGTAAAAATCTATCTACTACATTTGTACATTCTCTATCTGTACCCACAAAAATAAATTCAGAAAATCAAAGAGCTTATTTCCAAAGTGATTAAATTCCAAGTGATCAATCTCCAAGAAATTAAATTGTTCAGGAATGTAAAGTAATTAAATTAAACTTTATAGTTCAATATTACATTTAATAATTTTTGGATACCAAATAATATAGAAGAACAACATTTTTGTACATATTATTTGGCAGCATATTGGGGAAGTGTGTCTGAAATTTATTAGCTATCAGCTGTTTGAGTTGAATGGAATTAAATTAAAAGCTAGACAATCTTTTATGTCTTAACTAATTAACTGTCATGTTAATTTGCTGATTCTGTTCCATCTTAAATAAACAATTCATAAACTCACATAAATTAAGACAATTACAATATATAGTTAAAAAATAAACAGCACAGTCAAAATTATAATAAATATCACAGTTTGGTAATGCTAATAAAATTCCAATAACAAAAATAGTACATGTCTTGTGGTAAGGAAAATTTAAAAACCAACGTTCATCACAGTACATTACAGATTAATGGAATTATCATTTTTTTCTTTTTAACTTTTCTCAACATTGGTTTTAAGACAAAAACGTTCGCACAGTTGCTTTGATAGGCTGTCGGCACATGGGGCAGTCCTGTACACTGGCTGCACAGTTTACACATGTAGCTAAATGACCGCAAGGCACAAAAACTGCACCCACTTCTTCATCCATGCAGATCTTGCACAGCCTCGCTTCCTTCAGCCTGCGATTCTCTTCCTCAAGAGATGACTCTACACAAATAAAGCAAGAAAATTACACTGTGCCTTTCTGACTCAGGTTTTTACCAAAAAATATTTGGGAACACTAAATGTTCAACATACGACCCAAAACACTGGAAAAAAATTTTCTTTTACCTCCACAGAAATGTTGTTAATTTTTTAATTAGACAAGGAAACAATAATGGAAAAATTTGGAAAGAATTGTAATCAAAAAGAAAAATGACTTTAGAGGCCAAACATAAATGATAATAGAAGATAACATAAAAATTACAAAGCAACAGTTATCTGAAACATGATAAAGTAAAAATTAATAGTGTAAAACACAGTATGACACTAGATCAATGAAGATGGTCATATCGACATCAGGGAATATTGTTTTATTTAAAATGTCAATATGTGTCACACACACACAAAAGAATAGAAAACAAAAAACTTTTTTACCTCTAGATTCCAATGGTACACTTTTTATTTATAATGTTTAGTCGTGAAATATCATTCTGATTTGAAGGGGAAAAGCTATCAAGGAACATTAATAGAACATACATTGAGAACAGGGTTTCATTTTCAGGAAACTAGGGAATGTTTCCTAAACACATATTGATGAATTTCTATGAATGTAATAATTCATGAACATTTAACTCTCTAGTGAAGTCATAACAACTATGCTCGTCGAACTTACCTAATAGTAGTGAATATGTCACATGGTCAACTGTAAATATATTAGGGAGGAGGGCATGAGGATTTTTTGGACAAACAAAGCAAATGTATACATAAGTGAAATGTCATGGTTGATGGATGGCAGCTCAAAATCATGAATGTGATAATTATGGAGCGGATTTTGATGACCTAAAACGTTTTCAAGAAGGATCAATGAAATGATCATTAAAATATGGTTAAATATTTATTTCTTGGATGGTAACTCAAAACAGCATATTTTTTGGCAGTTGTTAATCAGAAAGAGAACATGTAACAAAATATTTATGAAAATATAAGAAAAACTACAGTTAACTTCTTGCATTTTAACTCCTCAGAACGTGAACGTGAGGGAAATTAGACAATGTCCTCCACTTTCCCCAAATAAATCTGAGAACTCAATCTTTAGAAAATATTATTCAGCAGATAATAAAACCTGAGAGAGCTGATAAGTGGTTGATAAGCAGATCTTCAGCCTGATAAAGAAGAAAAACACAAATTAAGCAGTTCTCTGAACTCTTTACTCTGCACCTGATAAGCAGCTTTGGTGCTTCATGATTTCAGTTCCAATTTAATTTCCTCAAAGGCCTTTATTTTTGCTTGTAAATGTTATGAAGAGTATTTATAATTGGCTCTCTGACTCTCATAACAACAGTGCCAAGCAAGATCAAACATTCATTAGGTTTGCCTTGCCATCAGAGTGAAGATCCATTCACAGATATAGTTTAAGAGACACACCCAGTTTTCCTTTCTTTATTTTGTTTTATTTAATTAGTCAACTAGCACATTTCAAACAAGTACTAGTACTACTTTTGGAGACTTTAATTCAACCTCCTGACAGCTAACTGGTTGTATTCACATGGATGTCAGAATACCAAAATAAATATTTTTTCAAATATTTATGCCAGAGGTTTTCAAACTCTTTAAAGACTTTGGCAATACATTAATTGTAACTTTTCAATTAAGTTATTAATGTCTTCTTCAAATTTTCATATGAAAGTTATTGACGAACCCTTTAGAAACCTCCCACATAACCCATGGAATGATATGCAAACCACAATTTGAGAATCTTAATTTATATTGTTGTAACAGCATCATTATTTGAGAATGGCTATTGTTACCCACAAATTGCAACATATACACTATAAACATTCGAAACCACATTGCTGTGAAAAAACAAACATATGAACAACGACTCTAAAATGAACGTGCATTTACGAAACATAGTAGCTTAGAAAATCAGTAGTGTGCATGAGCTTATAGCTATTTCTCTATTGGCAAAGCACAACAACCCCATTACAAATACTTCCCCAGTGCCACAGCAGAAAAATAAAAATTGTTCTTGAAAATCTTAACACCCATATATTATAACTTTCCCTCATTAAAAGTAACAAAAGGGAAGAGGAAAGAAGTCAAGCTTGTACTTTCTACTCATATTTATGTACATGAGATGATGTGTTTTGAGAAAATTAAGATGTGACTGTGGTTTTTCACATCTTTTAGTTTGCATTTGATAAGTTACAACTTTACCTGTGGCACGAGGATGAATAGTAGCTCGGCAGTGCCTTTGGCATCCCAAGCCCAGAAAAAAAAGAGGAGTGCTTGTTGGACTGGGTTCCCATCATCCCTAAAATGTGAATGTTGCAAAACATTCCATGAAGCAGCCTCAAATAAGGATGGATAATGAATGACAACAAAAGCAAAGAAAATGGGTAGTAAATTTTGGATCATAGAATGTTGAAACCCTAGTACAAGCTGGAAAACAGCAAAAATTAGCTCAACAAATGGAAAAAACAAATAGTAACATTGTAATAGTCCAAAAAAAAAGGTGGCCTGGAACAGGCTGCATCAAGAAAAATAAATATACTGTTTATTTTAAGTGGTCTGGACACACAAATTCGACAGTGAGATACTGGCTTCCTGGTAAGGAAACTATTTTTAAATATGGAGAACATAAGAATGATATATTATAATAATTATTAGAGATTTTATTTTCACAGCTACGAAACGAAGTGCTTATAACAGCACAAGAAAAGAGTTCATGGAGCTTAAACAAAAAGAAGCACAATATAGACAGTAAATCAATAGTCAGAAAATTAAATTTATGAAGTGTAAAGTGAACACACACAAAATCAAGGATATACAATAGATAAAATCCTCTACCAGGAAGTCAGATCCTTCACTTCTTTGGCTCCAAGATAAACAGGACAAAAAGAATAGCAGCAAGAAATAGAGCATATTTTGCACATAAAAACTATTCAGAAACAGCCGGTCATTCAAGGGAGCAAAACTGAAGTTATAGCAAGCAGTTATTTGACCAGAAGTATCATATGTTCCAGAGACGTGGACAATGAAAGAATATGATACGCAAAGATTGTTAATTTTTGAAAGAAAATTTTTGAGAAGAATCTTCAACCAAAAAGAATACTGAAAGTATCTGGAGAATCAGGTACAGCCTTCAAATTAATGATTTAATAAAGAATAAGACAATTGTAAATCACATTAAAGCTCTAAGGCTAAGTTGGCTGAGAATGGATGATAGCAGAGCAGTAAAGAACGCTTTTAACTGGGTGTCCATTCTTAACTCGAAAGAAAGACCGAATATTAGATGGAAGGACGATGTGTTGAATAATATCAGAAGACTGGGAATTAGTAATTGGACAGTCTAAGAACAAGATGGAAAGAAATGGAGAACTGCTGTGGAGAAGGCCAAGCTACTGAAAGGAGTGTTGAAGCACCTCAGGAAGAAGCTCTTGTGTTACATGTAACGATTGCAGTGTAAGATGTTTCTACAGCAAAAAATTATATTTTTTAAAATTTGAACTCAAAACTCACCACTTTCTAGTAGTTTCTTGCAACTTTTTTCACGTGGCAAACGGGGCATGCTCTGAGTTTTCACATCCTGCCCCTGCAAAGTTGGCTCGCTTTGGCAACCAGCAATCGAAGGCAATGACTTTGACACATTCAGGGAGCCATGATTTCGAACTCGGATGTCTTCTGAAACTGCTGGATTAGATCCTTCTTGTTCAGTGAAAGGTGCATTTCTTCTGGTTGGTACTGACGAAGCGATATCGGATGGAAGATCCAATACAGCCTCAATAAGTGCATCAGAACTTGTATAGGGAAAGCCTGTTCGTTCCAATTTACAGCGAAGAGCCTCTCTGATTCTGTTGAGATCCAAGCCGACTTCGAGAGCAGCCTAAAAAAATCATTGTCACTCACTATTGTTCATATCAAAAGGAGTCAAAAACATCTAGACCAGCAATCAAGTAGTCACAAAAATTAATAATTGTAAATCTGTGAAATAATTCATTCATTTTCTTATAAGTTTATATCAAATTACATATATTAGCAAGACAATACACTCAAAAATTAAAAGGTGCAAAAGAAAATTTTCATGTCTTATGCATAAGTAATTTTTTGAATGAACGGGGTTCTTACAATTACGGATAACAATCTTATCAGTTAACTTGAACTCAAGTATTTCCACAGAATTAACTTTGATTATGTTTCACCCTAATTAATGTTTTTTATGCTTTACAAAATAAAGTTTTAAAAAAGAGAAAAAAATAAAATAAAAATGTAAACAAAGGATTTTATTAGCACATACTGTTTAGTACACACATATAGATTAGATGGTGAAGACTTAGAAACATTAAAAGTAAATAATTGTTGTTTACCATAAAAAAATGCTTTTGTAACATTACTGCAATTGAACCTTGGAAAATGAATTTGGATATAGTTTACTTACCTGCAATTGACATCAGTTTGGCCATCCAGTTACAGAACAGATGTTATGGATTTAAAGTATTATGTATTGATTTAAGCCAACATATTAGATCTAGTACATTTTTTGAATGCATCGACAACGAATACCCATTAGAAGGACGGTGCGGTATTTACAAATTATACTTAAATAACAAATTATTTGTAAGGTGCTGTGACGCTTTGCTATATGTGTCAAATTTGTGGCGAGGCTCTGGCCTTCGGTCTACACGATTAACTTTAAACATCCTTGAGTCTGTCCCAACGCATTTCTAAAGTAACTCTGAGACTGTGATCTTCCAGATTTATAATAAAAACAAAACACTGTGTATATTGCAAACAGGCTACAGTTCAGTCAAATGGAGCTCAAAAAGGGCAAATAGCACAAAGTTTTGGTGCAGTTTTGATTGCTTCTTGGGTGAAATTAGAACTTACAAAATATGGAGGAAATAAACTAAAAGAAACATTACTAAAATTTTTAACAAATTATGGTAAGAGAGGAAAATACCAATAGAATGGCAAGAGGGTTTGGACATGAATATTCACAAAATGGACTCAAGGAAGAGCTATGCATCCTTTCCTCTACTCGTACCATTACAAGCGAAAGGAGAGTTCAACAACACGTGCGCGTAGTGAAGCTACATTTACATTCTGAATCAAAACAGGGGCCATCTCAGCATTTGCTCAATGGATCAGGGAAAATGGACAAAAACCTGATCAAGATGGGGTCATTAGAAAGTTACAGAAAAGCACTCTTCTATTCAAATATTAAGAGTGCTTTATAAATCTGATGCTGTGCTTGGAAAAATATTGATAACCAAATAATAGCATCTTGAAAAGTATCTTCAAAACAATTGGATGCTCCACCAGAAGTTTCCAAAAAACATGAAACAATTTTGGAATTAGGACCCCTTAAAAGGTTTATTTCAGTCAAAATCTTGAGATCAAATATTTAAAGGATTTCAATATTAATACAATGATTTCTACACTGAATACAAGGCAGTGAAAATAACAATTGATTGTGACTTGTTTTAAAAGAATTACAAGCCAGAATTTCACGAAATATTCATACGTATATTCAAACAAACAAATAAATTTATTAATTTTATTTACATTTTTATCAACACAAATAAACTGAAAAGATAAAAATCAACTTCACCCTTTTAATTAATGACTGCCCACTTTCAGGAAAGCCAAAATATCCAATAACAATTTTCCACAAAATACTTTTCCTTGTTTTTTACTTTCCCATAAACATACGTATATACAGAGTAATATACAAAGTAATGCACATAGTATGGGGAAAGTTATGTAATGCAGTGGAAAATCGATTACAAGATTTCAACGGAAATACACGTTTCAAGATCCCCTGACACCATAAAAGTGTTCTTTTTTCCAAATGTCCGTCCGATGTATGTGAACAAATCTAGCTAAACCTTGCGTAGGATTTTTTTTAAAATGAAGAAATCTCTGTCCATTAGGCCTGAGTCAAAGCTCTGCGATTTTGAAAATCATTCATTAGTTTTTGTGGGTATAAAGCCCCTGGAACATTTTCCAAATTTTCTCCAAAACAGCTCCAAATTTTTGCTTTGAATTCCTAGTAAGAATAAATTAAAATACACTTATAAAGGAGGCATAGGTCTGATGTTAACAGTTAAAACTGAATTTTCAGAAATTTCAATTTTTTTCAGGGTCTTTCTACAACTACCAAATTAAGATAAAGATTTTTCCTTCCAATTAAATTTGTTGTTCATAATTTGTTCTTCCATGAAGGTCACGTACATTTTTTTTAAAAATCTTAATAGTTTTCACTCAATATTGCATGCAATTTTAAAAAAATTACAGAAAACAAATTTTCTCAAAAACATCTAAATTTTTTCTTTAAAAAAACTGATGCTAGGAATTGTGCTAAATGCACTGTATGAAGTGACATGCTCATTGCTCCATTCTTTGGTTTTTCAAAATTGTAATTTTTTTGACTTGTCTCTCATGTCGTTAATATTTACATTCGCAGCAATTTGTTCACATTCATGAGTATATGTGCTGTAAACAGTAACAATAAGTTCCTCAAAAACTCATATTCTGTCAAAACTAGCTCAAAATTGTGCAATTCCAGAAAAGCTCAATCTCCATTTTTTAAAGAATGGCTCCAATTTTTTTGAAAGGGTAGTGCTATTTGCACTCTATGACTTCAAGTTCATTTTGGGGTATTTTTTTGTTTTTTTTAAAATTACACAAATGTAATTTTTTTGAAAGACTTCTCACGCCTTTAATATGTACATTTCCAGTGATTATAAACACTATTGTTATTTGTAAGTTAATGTGCTTCAAATGACCTCTAATGAAGTTTTTCAAAAACTCAAAAACTTGCTGTGAAAAAGAGCTTCAAATTTCGAATTTACAATAGTGCTTGAACGCCAGTTTTTAAAAAAACGCCTAAAGAAAATTACCATTTAGGACAAGATTACACCATTTTAAAATACTCTTAAAATAATATTTCCACTCTACAATGAGGAAATTGAAAAATTAAAAGAATTTAAAAAAAATGTACTTTGGGCGGCGATAGATGGCAGCAGGCAAGAACATGTGGCAAGGTCAAATAGCTAACCGAGAGCAAAGGAAATAAAATACTATTTCAGGGAAGTCTGTGCCATTCTGTAGCACCACTAGTTATTTACTTATATTACAACTTGATTATTTGCGAGAAATCAACAGGCTTTTAGGTCTGGGGCTAGTGGATCTGTGGATTAGGACATTTTATGCGCCCTCCTTGCTCCAATACCTTCATTCACTTAGGAAGCAGGCTATAAAAGTAGTACAAATGAGATTCAGACTGATCACATTGTACTCATTTTGAGACCCAATCACACTTATTTTAACCACTCCAAAATATTTCTGTAAAAACTTGGCCAAATGGCTCCAGCGGTAGACACACATTTTCATTTTTAGTTTTTTAAAAATCATTTAAAACTAACTTTAATTGTTAATAAATACTTCAAATTAATCAGGGTCAATAAGGCAGGTTTAAGAAAGGATTGTAACAAAGGGCTGTGGACTTTCAGAAACTCACCCTGACTTGAGGTGTAGTCATCAACCCATCAAGATCCTCATCTGAAATCACATGCGTTCGTGATGCACCCTCTTCATGTATTGACCTCGATGAATTGCTCACTGTTCTTTGCGATTGCTAATCATACCAAGCAAGATCATTAAATACAAATCAATGGAAAGAAAATAACACTTGATATATTTCTTCCTACATTAACATCTTACCTGAGCTGGCACTATTGGGGGATGCTGGGCTATAGAGTTTTGAATAAACTCATCTCCTTTCACTAACATGACATACGTACATCTTGAAAACCACCGAGCATGCTCAACCCAAGGGTCATCGTTTGCATCCCACTGCCTTAACCCTCCATCGCAATGGAAACATCGCACCTGGTCATTAGCACCTGTTACACACAAATATTTAAATGTTACAATTGTAAATTTGGGGATCAACAATTTTGTATTTACTTGGATATCTGACTGCCAGGTTTCTTATGAATGTACAAAATAAAATTAAACTACAATTTAAATCACATTTTTGTATTTGGACCCTATAAAAAAACATTTCCATCAACTGTGCTATTTGACTGTATCATTTAATAGCAAAATTTAATTTTGTAAAACTGCATACTTCATATCAGCTGACAATCTCACTCATTCTACCACATTGTAAAATATTTTCTCCTTGTAAGAGCATTAATCATTTTCCAAAAAAGTGTTCTAACCTGACTCTATGAATGCTTTGTAGTTGTTATTTGAAATTTTTTGTATTAACAAAGAAACAACTTGGTGCAGTTTCTCAAGGACCTTTAATGATTATTAATTATTTAATTGTATATTCCCCCCATACATCACATACAGTTTTTAGTGTATTTTGGGTGTTAAATAAGTATGTAAACAAATAAATACATTAGCTTCTAGTTTTTGGACGAATGCAAGACTTTCTCTCTAGGTTCTAAATATTTAATGAAAAGGGAGTATTTAATGCAAATAAATATGATACAGTAAAACCTGTCTAAGCCAGAATTGTTTGGGGCAACATTTTCTTCTGTCTTGTACAGGTTTCTGACTTATTCAGGTTTGCAATAAAAACTGTCAATTCTGTAAATGCAATCGTTCAAAGATGGAATAGGTTGTAAGAGTAGTTTATCTCACCTAAAACTACATTTCAAAGAAAGACAACCCAGGAGAGACAAAGAAAATGACATACAGAAACGCAAACACAAAGTCTAACGAAACAAAGAACTCCATAGAAAGTAAAATACATTTTTCTTCAATATTTGAAGGAACAATATTTAAACAATATTCAAGCAATATTTTAATATTTACAACTTTAAAACAATATTTTTCTGTTTTATCCAGAATTTTTAATACTGTCATACTAAAAATTCCTTTCCGTTTCCATGTTAGACCGATTTCCAGCTTATCCAGTGTACTTTACATCAGAAAGTAGTTCATTCTGAGATTTTTTTCCAATGAAGACCTACTTCTGCCTTAAGACATGTTATACTCTATTAAATCCAGCTTGCCAACAACTATTCTCCAATCAAAATTTATGTGCCAGCAGAGATGTGGCAGTCCAATTGAGACTTCAAATTCAAAAACTGAAGCTCTCAAATGGATAACTAAGTCCCAGCTGATCAAATGTCAAATGCACTTGAAATTAATTGGGAGATTCCATTTTTGAAATTGAAGTTCTCGATTGGATAACCACATTCCTGCTGGTCATATTTTATAACTACACATTAACATACTAAAATTTTAATCGCAGAGTATTTCAGCAAATGTAAGTTGTTACCCACCTGCATAATAAAAACCAGCTTGTGCTAACTGCTGAGGAGTCTGACTGACAGTCTCAGGCCAGTTCACAAACGTCCGAAGGCGAGATTCAATTGTAGAATATTTAGGATGTTTTGGACCCCTGTGAGTATGAATTCCAAGATCATTCAGATTGGAATGTGTAGCTTCACTGAAGGGATGCGATGCTTGAATAAAATTTGAAAAATGTAGAGAACATATTTTCAATTCAAAACACAAAATATTAAAATACAAATTATCAGCAACTTCATGCTCCAATACGTACAGATTTCAATTACATCAAAATGTAGAGATAATGAATGCATGAAAGAATTATGTAAATTACTTGATATTGCTGGAATTCATTTTTATGCTGAAAACTGATTTTAAAATTGGTAGCCCAATTCCATTTAACATCACAAGAATGTAGCTTTGTTACAATTGAGGTAAAACAATTTTAGTAATTGTATATTCAATTGAAGCTAGCAACCTTTAATTCTGGAGGAAAAAGAAAGAGAAGGATTCAACTTGATTCACAAAACTTTGATTTTCTTCTAAAATTGAAAACTATTATATAAGTGTGAAAAATACAATGAATCTCTCTGCAAATGATGCTGCAGAGGATAAATTTCACACACATGAACAAAAATAAACAATGAAATATTTTGTTTCTAAATTCTTAAACATTTGTTCCCTATCATTTAACTTCTTTCTTAGTGTAATTTGAGCCCTCAGTTGGTTTCGATGAACTTCAATTTCACTGGCTTGGCTTAACAAATATAAGACAAAAAGAAACAAAGCAATATAAAATACAATGAAAATCAATGACCAAATTATTTAAACTTACGTGCATCTCTTTCTGGATGAGAAAATGGTCTGATTTCGTCTTGTTCTCCCACTTCATTTGTTACTTGTGTTTGATTAACATTGTCATGGCTGACTGCGATGTTGTTGAAAGGAACACTTTCAGAAGCTACGATGTGATGAGAAGGGCAACAAGGAAAGTGACGGCGATGTTCTGCATCAGGATTATCACCATGCTCCCAGCCATGGACCTTGCCAGAGCAAAACGCACATTGCACCTAAAATAAAGGACCTTCTTCACTACAATCCCGCAATTTTATTTCTCAACAAGAAACTTATTTAATTTCTACACTTAATATTCTCTTACCCAGTCACCATCCAAAAGATAAAAGAAACCACTTTTTGCAAGTAATGAGGGAGAAACTATGTGGGACTTGGGCCAGGTGGCAAATGACTGAAGTCTTACTGCCTCACTTCTATACGAAGAAAAATTTGCATTTGAATTTGATGTTTCAGAGCTATTTGACACACCTGCAGTACTTGAAACTAAATTGTTTATATTGTCATCTTGAGTAGCTCCTACACCAATGGATGCAGTAGAAATTTGTGGCGATGATAAAAAATCTACACTATTTGCCAATGAAGGGCTAGGCAAACTATTTTGATTAGTTTCAGATACTTGAGAATACAAACTTGGACTTCGATACACAACTGGAATATTTCCTGAAGTAATAGGGTCTTTTACAAATGGGCACTCAGGATTCAACAGGCGATGACGGGCCATAACTTGATCACCATAATTCCATTCTGATATTCTTCTTCCACAACTAAAGCATTCTACTTCCAATCCAATTCCAGTGTAGAAGAAACCGGCCTTGGCAATGCGCTGAGGTTCTACTTCAGCATTTGCAGGCCATGACTGAAAGGTGTTAAGCCGTGATTGTTCTTGATTCATGGTGGTATTTACCCACAATTAGACCTTCGTTATTGAAATAACACGAGGAATTTCCCTGGTTTAGGTGGAATGTCGGTCGTCGATCCTATATATTTGAGTTTCAAACTACTCTCAGGTTTCATACTCAATTCTTACGAATTAAAAATTCATGAAAATTAAACCAAAAGCATTTCATTGTTGACACGTATCGTTCGAACTACAATCATACATTGATAGGAAGGCAAAATATTGACATATTACAATTAAAATGTGCGGTTCTACCTACGAATTCCTCTGATTTTGGGAAGGAATGATACCAATTTGTTAATTGAATATCAACACTGACACTACTCCAATTCCATCACCAATCGAAAAAATTAAGCGTCTGAATTAATTCAGCATTAAATTGGCACAAATTTCTTTATTTAAGCTGCATGGCACTGTACACAAACACCTATCAATACCAGCAGTATCCTCTCATAGCGCATAAAAAAAGAATACAAGACCCACAGGCGCTGACGCATGTGACCAGCATATGACAGATCATTATGCGCAGGGCAATCCAAAGAGTATGCGTTTTGTAAGCGTTGCCTACTACAACAGCCTCAGATCCAGCCCAGATCTGGGAGAAACTCGATAGAAGACACTGCCGATTTCGCCAACCTTCGTCCAATCAGACTTTCCATTCATCTGTTCGTTCGTTCTTTTATTCATTCATTCTTCCTTTCATTTATGATTCACATTTCGCAATTGATTCTACCATCGTAGGGGATCACGGGGGATCACCTGGGGATAAAACAAAATATTTCTCTGCAGTCCTTGCACTGTTGTAAACACTTGCAAAAAAAAAGGACATTTGATTATGAAAAATCATAAAAAATATATTATGTACCCATCATTTATTTCATTGACTGATACAACACAATTTATTTTACGCATCAATCGATTTCGATTACTTCGTGGATCAATTATGACGCGAACGTACATCATATGTCCAGTTGGCTGCTCACTTTGAATTAACATCTGACAGTAGTGGCCTTCTCCGTGCTTTGGTGCAACAGGCTTCAGGCGGTAATTTTATATTGGAACGCCTAGCAGTAACTGGAAATGAGAAGCAATTGAAAAATGCTTACACAAAATAAGATACATTGCATATTGTGACTATTATTGAAGATTTTAGAAATGGATGTTTGCTACTTCATGTTTTTGTGCTTCGTACAGTAGTAACGCTATTCATTAGTTATCGGTAAAAGTGATTTTTTTTTTCGTCATTCATCTTGAGGATTGCGTAGAATGTTAAATTAGAAAAAGGATGCAGAGACTTGAAGAACTAATGCAATGGCAACGCCAGCAGCAGGAGAAATTACTACGACATCAACAAGAACAAAAGGCCTTAATTACTTTTGAGCAAAAACGATTGTTTCAAGAAATAGGATCCATTTTAGAACAAGGTAGTCAATTTCTTTAATTATCAGACAAATAAAAGTATATCTTAAATATTTCATGACCGTTAACAAACTAAAATCTTCAATTCTGAAGTTGTTGCATTAATATTACCAAACTCTTTAAATTCAGGTGTGCAGATTGATCTGAACAAGCTTAAGACTTGTGTGCAGATCCAGCTCACTTTTTAAATAAATATTCTCATCTCTAAGATTTGTCATTCTCGGTTCATGTCTGTGCCATTCTTTCTACACATGGTATTTTGCAGTGAAGTTGCCTTGACAGGTCATCAAAGGGGTTTAACTCTTGTTACCAGAAGGATTACCGCTGCATGTGCAATGACTCTGACCAGGAGAACCCTAAGAAACACGCCATGTGCAATCTTTCCTTCCTCTTTTGTCCTATTCTCACCCTTTTTACTCTTCCATGCACTACACTACCACACATACTGGGAGATCTGTCGGGAAAGAGCATGTCCCAAGTGGGATGGTGACCCTTTGGTGGGAAATACCTGGTTGGGGGAAATCCCCTTAGCCAATGGTAGGTTGGTGTCGGATCTCACATACAGCAGGGAAGATCACACACTAACGGGACTAATGATCTTGGCAGTTGATGCCGCCAGAATCATCAGGCAATCAACATGTCGAGGTGAGAGACCTGGAAGTGGTAAACCCTTGCAAGCCAATGTTTAGGTTGGCACCAGATCTCGTGCATTGGGAAAGGAATAACCACCCCAGATATAATATTCACTACAATAACAGGGCTAAAGACCAGAGCAGGTGCAAAGATCAATAAATAAAAAGCAGGTTTTTATGAGCATATATTTTGTGATGTGTGTAATAGTCTTCTAGAGTACACCAGAAAAAATTTTCTGCACTGACCTGAGTCATGGCCTCTTATTCAAAATTGAATGGATGTTGGTAGCAACCAAATCACTGGAAAACAAGAGAAAGGGTCAACTCTTCCAATATCTTATGATTGTGGTATTTACATTTTGTTTTGTTTCAAGCTGCAGTTCATGCTACCAACATAATTTTTGTTGCTAACACTCTCATCAGCAAGGTGCTTCTGCGGACAGATATTCCTCACGTGTGGTATATTTAACATGACTGACATCTAATTCAAAGATTTAATTCATTGCGATGTTCACAGTGAGTTGGTTTTGACTTTTTGTGTATAATTATAAAAAGCTTATTTTTTTTTCTCTTTTTGTAGGAAATATTTTGTCATCAACAAAAGAAAACTCTGATAAACAAGATGTGGATAATACAAAACACCATGAGCTTCATCTTGGAGAAGCCAGGGAATTGGATCAAAAGGATACTTCTGTTCCACAGGTTTTGTAACAATATATGTTGTGATACCACAGTTCATGTGAAATTAATTATTGTCATTTGTTGTGTGCTTTTGAATCCATATGGAATAATAGATATAGCTTCTCCCTCTTCTTCATAAAAACTAAGAATCACACTTATGTCAAAAAGTCGGATACAATTATTTATGTCCAAATGTCTCATGTAGTCAGAATATTTCAATAGTTATAAAAACATATTATTACAAATTTTAATAGAAACATAGTTAAAATGTTACCAGCACTTTTTAAACCCAATTTGAGGTGAAGATTGATCTCAAAAAATTGGCTAGTTGATTCTGCTTAATTTCTATACATCCACTGGTGTATAAATTCAGTATCTGAAACTTTCTTTTAACAATCTATTCTTGACTTAAAATTCTTGTGTTATAAAAGTTATCTTCAAAAGATCTACTTTGGACTAAAATGATGATTTGAAAGACTTAACTACCTCCTCCTTCTTCCACTGAACTTTTTGATCTAGGAGATCAAGATGCAACAAGGAAAGATGAGAAATGTTCTTGAATTTCATTGGATTAGATAATAAATTTTTTAATAACATTATATTATTCAAACTTTCTTTCAGATGCAGGGCTCCTTTGATGAGATGCCTGTGAAGCAAGTGACAAAGAGTTTCACCCAGTTGCTGCAGGAGAAACTCAGCACTGATGAAAATGGAGATGATGCTGATGCAAATGTAAAACCAAAGAGAAAGTTTTTGAAGAAAGGCGAAGGGTTAGCTCGGTACCGTATGACTCTTGATAAAAGCCTGAAGCGGCCTCCGCGGTTGACAAAGAAAGTAGATTTAATGAACGCTAATGAAGAAAAGGGAAGGAAACTTACTGGGAACACGTCATCTCTGGCTCCATCTGGTATCAAATCTGTTGTGGCACCTGTATCAGAAAATCAGCAGGGGAAAAAAGGCCCTACTTCAGTGAGGACTCATTCTGTGGAACAAACTCATCTGAGCCTTAATACCAAAAGTTTATATTCACCAAAGAAAGTACGTGGACTTCATTGTGTGTCTGAGCAGGAGAGTCAGGTAAATAATATTTTTGTTGAACATGCAATCTGTAAAAATATGTATAATATTATAATGAATGTAGTTATTTAAGATTTTGTGAAGCGTATACAGTTTCTCTTTAATTGTCTTTCATTCCAGAATGTGAGTTCACACCTTCAATTTAATAAAGAATTTTGCATGAAATATATGTTTTTTGATGTAGGGTGTAATATTCTACACTCCCTTGAAATTACAAAGAAAGGATTGTTCGACAATGGTTTTGAAGAAATTAGTGGAATGAAATGATCTTAGGATGATTTTTTTAAAATGCTTAGAATTCCATTTTTTCAAAAACGGCTCCAAATTGTTTGCCTTAAAATTAATAAATTTAGTTAGAGTTAAAAACATGTTCATAAAAAAAATTGATGGAAAGTTGTTCTGAAGGAAATTTGCTTGTTTTGATGATTTCAAACTGTGACCTTCTCAATGAAGTATGTCTCTAGAAGAATACCATGAAATATGTTATATAAAAATATTTTTTTGAGTGCTTGGTACTATCAAATATGCAAATGTATTTATCAGATTAAATTCAATCCCTGTGTATGTTCACAGAATAATTTTTTCTAGAAATTTATATCATAATTGAACCGGTAATTTTAAAAGGGAAATAAATCCACTATTTTCATGAAATTTAACATACATTGTCTTGTTTATTTTACAAGCTAAAAATCACTGTAAAAATGAAACTTATCCAGCTTAAAGAACATATTCTCTTGCCAACCAAATATTCTAGTGACTGGAAAAGAGAAAGAAGTCCAGGACTAGTTTCTGATCCACAGAAGAACTACTATTATCAGCTAGGAAATGCTTTAATGATTCATTATAACAGTAATAGAAACTGAGAGATCCTCTACTTTAAAACCTGGTGGTCAAACTATTTTAAGAAGACAACCAAATCTCTTGCTCGTTCTGATAGTCCTAATTGTGAGCCTGGGTTTACTTTTTCCAAGTAAACATATGATGGAGAGTATTTTGGTTATCTTTTGGCATGTGAGTACGTAAGTCGATGGGCTTATGAAGTACTCATTCATTTTGGTAAAGGGAAGGCACATCCAGATATGAATGCCTTTCTTGAAAGTTAATCGCTCAGCTGTTCTTCCAATCACCAGAGAGAAAATAATCGATGTTCAAAAAATTGTTAAATACCTCTCATATGAATATCTCAACTTCTACACAGACTCAAATTGAAATGGATTATGAGTAGATGAGATTTCCCTTTTCAAATCACCAATTTAATTGTAAGTTTTTTAATTATTTTTGAATAAATGTAATTTATAGAATTGTTTTGTTTTTCAGGACGAATTGCATTTGTTTGAATTGTTGGAGCAGCAAGCAGCCAATTCCAGTTTCTGTTCCACTTCATCTGTTGTTATGCGGTTTCTGGGAGATCCTTCTGCCCAAGTTACCAACTCGGTAGATTATAAAAAGAATACTTCTCAGAGTGCTACTGTAGAAAATAGAACACTTCCACATACATTGAGGCAGCCGGAAATTATTTCAAATCCATATCGATCTTCAAACAATTTGAATGCTATTTCCTCAAATGCCAATATAACTAAAGCACATGTGGGATGCACAACCCGCAATTCTCAACTGGAGCGAATTGCTGAATTCTGTGACTCTTCATGTAATACGCCCCTGAAATCCACCAATGAGAAATTGCTCCTGAATTCTGAACAAACTGTCCATGAAAAATTAGTTCCTAATAATATTTATGAAAGTGAAAATGAAACAAAAAAAAATGATCTCTCAAATTCTCTTTATTGCAATGGCAAAATACCTTCTGGTGTTGAAGTTCCACAGGATAAAGTACAATACAGACACAAATCCCTTTCTACTGCTCTGAGTAGCGTAGATGACGAAACTGATATTTTCAGAGACTCTGAAGTGTGGAGCGACTGCAGTTGCAGTAGTTGTGGAGAGACTGGGACTGAGAGTGAACACGAAGTCCCAAATCCTCCTCTGCAGCAAGCTGTTACTTCTGAAGAACATTGCGATACGGATGATAGTAAGAACAAATCTGTGCAAGAATGTACTTCTGATCATAGGGATGCAATTACCTTTAAAAGTGCTCTCCTTAAAGAACGTCTTGCAGAACTTGAAAGTGAAATAGACATTTTTAAGAAAGAAAATGCTCATTTAAAGAAATTGAAACAACAGTACGAACGTGACATTGCCAACTTTAATAAAGAGAAAAAAGAACATGAAAAAATTCTGAAAGAAAATACTGAAAAGATGCAGGAAAGTATATTAGCTGAGCGGCGGAAACTGGCAAGAGAAAAACAGGTTTTCGAAAGATACAGCAAGGAAAAAAAAAGTCAACCAACTCGCCAAGAAAGGGAGGAAATTCAAGCTCTGAAACAACAGGTATTTGAAAAGTTTGGAATTTTGTCTTCCATTTTTTGGAGGCATATTATTTCTAATTTATAAATGTGTCCAAGGGGTGAGTTTCATCTTTGTGACCTGAAAGCTTTAAGAAATACTTGTTACACTCTTTTCTGATTAGTGTGATTTTGACAATTGTACTAATTCGATACGCTAGGTTTGGCACAAATTAAGTAAAATATTGTGCTTGTTTTATTCTATATTTTGCTTATCTTGTCAGGAGTATTGCATACGTTTTTAGTCCAGTAAGATAGCTTCAAAGATCTAAATAAAATACGAAAAATATCACTTAAAAATGAAAACAAGATTACCTAGTAAGATGTGAATGAAACCAAACCATGAACTAAAATAAAACTGTTAAATTAAGCTGAATTGTCATTGTCGTTGGCACTGAATGATGCAGCCACTTCTTGTCCTGGAACGCTCACAATCACAGTGCATTCCTTCTCAGTGTCCCCATGTGTTTAGAATGTTATTGTTTTCCATCATCAGCTGTCCTTTATCTGTGTGAAGTCATATGTTTATTTCTTGATTAATCTGCTTCTAGTTAGTAAATACATTGACAGTTATCCAAGTTTGAAAATTACTGCTTCTTGCTGCCTGCAGAAATTCTCAATTAATTCTTTTGTAGAAATGAATTAGCTCTTCCTGAAATTCACTGTTTTGATTGAGTGTAGCTTTGTAGTGGGTGAGAGTTTTATTTTGAGAAAGATTCAGAGAATCAAGAGTCAGTTAGTACCATGCTTTTCAGTGACAGCTTTTCAGTGGTATGGTTGTATGTAACTAAAATGCAAGAGATTCCATTGTAACAGGTGATACACATTAAATTGGAAAAGTATGAGAGCACATTGGCCATGACGCTGATGCGTCACATTGAGTGTAGAAACCAATGCATTTTTATAACATGTAAAAGAGAAAGTGTAAACGCTTGTTGTAGTCTGGATGTGCCACAGCATAAGATTAGGCTTGAGACCTAAGAATGTACAAAATGAAGCACTTTCTTTATTTTAAAAGTTCTATTTTTACAATGCAATTCTTATTATTTTTGACGATTGAATTTTTAATGATTTATTGCATCTGATTTGAATTATACAGAGATTTTATTGGAATTTTACTATAAAAAAGTCTAGAAGGTTTTATTTTAATGGCACATTCTCAATTTCTTTCATACTAGCAATTTTTAGTTCTAAACATTTGCTCTGAGATGTGTAGAAAAACTTGCAATGGAACATTTTGACCTGTTGCAATTATAAACACATAAACAAATGTCAAAACTTTCCGCTCTGGCCTTAATCTGGAAGGCCATTTGCATGCTGTTTAATAAAAAATATAGTAATTATTGAGTACCTATTTGCAAGAATAACTTAAACGGTGACATGAAACTAAATAAATATTGAATTAATGTCACCCTTTCACAAAACTAAAAAACACAAATATGGAAGTTCTACGTCTCAACAAACTTGAATACAGAGCAACTACAGATCACTGTACTTGCTATGTCCAGAGGGGGAAACCTGAAAAACAAGGGTCTATGAGAAATTCACAGGAATTTATTGGAGCAATTACACTTTCTCTTCTTCACACTGTCCACAGTCACTCTTTATTTCCTTTACCATTCTAATTCCATTAGAAATAAAAAAGCAGTAACAATTTATAAATTATATACAAATTATCTTTAATAATTTTTTATCTTAATTAAAACTTGTAAATTTTAATATTCATATTCTCACAAAGGTTCATACAGTTTTTGAATTTGTAACTTCTTAGTAGTGATTGGGTTAACAACTCACAGTTGAAATTTCATATTAAAGCAGTTGATGGATTCTTCTGTGTGTTTTATAACATTTCTAATAAAATTAATTTCATTATTAGATTGCGGAACTACAAGAAGAGCTGATTCGCAAAGACACTCGCTGGAGTGCAAATCAGGTGCGAACCCGAGATCGTATGAGACAATTAAATAAAGAGCTGTCTCAACTCAGAGAAGAAAACGAGAAGTTGAAAGCTGAAAAAGCTAAAATTAAAAGGGTAATATGCTTATAATAAGCAAAATAAACTTCTAAAAATTAACAACTGAAAATAGGATTGTAAGATGTAAATATCCCTCCAAAAAATTTTACTGATTCCAGAAAAATGAAATTCTGTAATAGTCCTCCATTATTGTATATTGAAATATAATTGACTTAAATTGCAGATTGATTTTGAAATAAGTTAGAATATATTTAAACTTTTCTTAAGATTCTTATATTCTACATTTAAAAAAAGTAATTTATTGTTGTATGTATGTATCAATATATTTATATCTCTTTTTGGTTTTTAATAATATTTTTTTGGTAGTTTAGAAAGTTTCCAAATTTATATGAATTTCTGTTATAGGTTCGATTTTCTAATCCTAAAGTGAGTATGGTTTCAAATACGAAAGTGTTACACAGTATAAATGAGAAACTTGCACAGTTAAAAGTTGACGATTTGGAAAATCCAATTGTCATTAAGAATGTGGTTCCACGTAAACGAATCCCAGCTCATGTCCTCTGCCAAAGTACAAATGATATGAAAGGAAAAGATTTGGAGAGAAATACTAAAATCATTCATGCTGTGCCTGACTTGCAAAGTAAGTTGCAAAAGGCAACAGTTAATGCAGATAAACAAAATGATGACACATATCAGAATTTCAATGATGAGAGCAATATCTCTGAAAAAATAATGTACAGAAACTCAGATGAAGAAGTATTCATTTCAGAAGAAGCTTGTGAAAGTAAGAGTCATTCAGATAGTGCAGATACCTCCCCAATGCATATGTTAGTATACCATTCCTTTTTCCCTAGTCAGCATGAAGCAGTTTCAAGGGATGTTGATGAACAGAACACCGATCTGCACATAGATCAAAATTCAGATGAAATACTGGAGAATGAGATATCCGAAACTCCTCAAAATGGAAGTAATTCATATTCTTTAGTTAAAAATCAAAATGTAATTAGTCACCCACTTAAAAACACTGTTGATACAGATGGACCACTTTCCCCTCTTTCTGAAGTGTGTGTTTTGAGTCAAATGACTGAAACCCAAATGTCATCTGAATCTTTGAATGAGAATGCTAAAAAAAGAGATTTTTCCGAAATTGTACATACGGATGGAACCAGAGAAAAGAATTTTTCTGATGGGCGTCAAGAAATTTGGTATGCAAACGGCAATGTGAAAAAAGTATCCCCTGATAAAATGACAACTAAAATGATTTATTTTAATGGTGATGTCAAAGAAAAATATTTTGATGGAATTGAGAAATATTATTATGCAGGAACAAAAACTTGGCAAACAACTTACTCTGATGGCCGAGAAGTTATAGAGTTTCCCAGGTAGGTTTCCAAGTCAATTTATTTGTATTGCACAAACACTAATATTGTGGGAAGCTTAACTACTTATGCATTAAAAATCAGTTTTATTTTTTCTGCTATTTTTTTCATTTTTATGTACCTTGAAAGTTACTTTTTACTTTCTCATTCATGAATTTTACAGATAAAAATTGGATGCATGAAATATTCTATCTTGAGGGTTTTAAGAAAATTGGTATTAGAGAACGACTGAAAAAATTTGTTAACATATTTTTCTCTCCCAATTATTCCCAATTCAGAATAATAAAAAATCTTAGCAAAAAACGGTCGCAGGTATAAATCAGGCACAAAGTAATGTTATAGTGAATTTGACAAGTTGTAATATTATTTTGTCTCAATGGTGGGAATTAATTATAAACTTTAAAAAATCTCAGGTCTCTTCAAATTGAAGAGAATTTCTTATATTAAGTCTCATATTCAGGTAAATATGGCATTTGTATTGTTGAAGCAAGGAAAATTAAAAACATGAATTAGTTACGAGGGAAATAATTCTGAGTGTGTCAATAACAAATATCGACCATTTTAAAAGACTCATTCACAATCAAAGAAAGGTTATTAAATGGTGAATTATGTTAATGATATTTCTGCTTTTAAAGAAGAAGCCTTGCAACATGAAGCAATTCTTATTGTTTTGTTACATGTTATTTTGCATGAGTCTATATGACTACAAGGTTTCTTCCTTTTCCTGATGATGGTCACAATATGTTTAAGGGTCAAAACATCAGTAACATTCACAATTTAATAACCATTCTTTGATTGTAAATGTGTCCGTTAAAAAATCGATATTTGTTATTCGTAAAATGACTATACAGACATTAACCCTGTATTGATGAATTCAGATTGTTAATTAATTCAAAAGCACTCATAAGTTATTGTAATAAGTAAATCAAATGTTTGTAGTATGTATAAATATTTTGAAACTGTATTAAAAGCTGAAGGAGAATGAAAATGTGGAATTGGCTTTCCATTTTCATCCACATTCTTTTTTGTTTCCTTGATGCTGAACAAAATGTGTCTGTTGCAGTGGCCAGGTAGAGTGCAAGATGCCTAATGGAACTGTTGAAATAACATACCCAAATGGAAGTACACTGTTGAAGCACAGAGATGGACACGAGAAGTTGACTTTGACTGATGGAACAGTTGTGAGCACAAGTGCTTCAGGTATTAAGGAGATTGTCTATCCTAATGGACAAAAAGAAATACATGCAGAAGATCATAAAGTGAGTATTTTATCTCTGTTCTGAACTTAGGAAGTAATAATTTGCTGTTGAGTACTTACTACTTTTGTTTCTAGAGAAGAGAGTATCCTGACGGTACTGTGAAGTTAGTTTATCTTGACGGATCTCAAGAATCAAGATATGCTTCAGGGAGAGTGAGACGAAAAGACAAAGATGGGAATATCATCATGGATTCTGTTAGGACATGACACAGTTATAAATATATTTGTATAGAAAATCACCATTTACAATGTTACAGTGTTTCAGAACATTCCATTTTCTATGTTTGTTACTAAATAAATAATTTTAAATATACATGATTGTGATTTATTGTGTTCAATGATATCCAAGAAAAATGGATAATACAAGGTTTTTCTTCTCATATGACTTAAGAACCTGAACTGTTGATAATATGAATAGCCTAGCAATGGGGAAATATGAAACAATTTACTTCTGCAGAAACAAATTAATAAATATATAATGGTTTCCTTTATTCTAAAAAAGAGGGTATGTAAATAATTTAATATATTCAGATTGTAGTTATATTTACAATTGTCAAATGTATATTACAACATTTTTATTATAATGGCTTCTTTTCCCTATGATATCATTTTTTCTTACATAGAGTAGATATATTTTATTTCACTTTTAGGACCATCTGTACGCAAAATATGCCTAGCCTAAAAGAGCATCAGGTCAGCTAGCCACTGCTTTTTGGATTAAAAGTTTAAATTTTGTGGCATATTTACAGTGAAAATTCAGTTGCATTTATTCATTACTTGCTTTTGCTTACACAGTATTTAAACATTTTTTTTCCTGAACCTACTACTGCCCATGAATGGCTGATAACCCATATGATAGATTTCAGCTGGTTGCTGTTTATCAGCCCAACACGTTAATAACTGAAACATGTTTCACATTTACATTTTTTTAAAAATTCATTTAATAAGAGTGGAACCTAATGATATTTTTAAAACAAAAATCAATATATCTCATAGTAACAAGTTTAGTTTTTTTATATATTCTTTGGGTTTTTTAAAAAAATTTACAAATTTAATTTTTTTGAAATATCTTTTACTTTTGATCATAAGGACGTATCAGCTACGTCATCTTCATATTCCTATCATGACCTTGGGACATACGTCATACGTTCTTTTGCATTTATCATAGCATAGGTATAGTATCTTAAGAAGCCGCAACGGGAGAGATGGTTCAGTCCATCAACTGATGTCACTGCAGTCCCTCTGGGCGGGATGTCTCAGGGTTCGAGTTCCGACGGCGATGGGGTTTTCGACACCAGTTGGATTGCTAGGTCGAATTCGGTGTCTGGAGGAGAATTCGAGCGAACGTCTGTTCCGATCGGCAGTTTTCCGTGGATTCTCCGCCTCTGCCAGAGAAAGTCCATCTTCAGAGACCGAAAAACCGGAAAGAAAAAACGTTTTCACTAGAAGCTACTTCGGTGTAACCGGGATTAGACAAAACGGACACAGCATCTTTGTCCAAGCATTTTAACTTCCTTTTTGGGAAGATCCCTCTAACTGGAAATGAACAGATTGGATGATATCAACTGGATGTTAAGCATGTCCTGGATTGTGTGGAGTCTTGAACATCTTGAATCCTTTTCTCTACCGCCTAGAATCTTTATGACGCGATTCTTGGGCTTCAACTAATACTTGACCATTGCTCAGTAGAGCAGAAGAAATTATTTTCATTTTTCCCCTTCGTTTTGTGCGTTTGCTGCTTTTTCTGAAATCCCGCACAGGACGTCCGCTTTTTTCTATTAATGTAGTTGCAGAAATTGGGAAACTAATAGTTTTTTGCATCCGTCTTAGATTCGAACGCAAGAACCGGCCCAAGGTTCTACTTGCTTTACGCCTTTTTCCATAATTTTAAAAATTATGTTGATCAGTTCGTTTTTAAGAACACGGGAGATTTCGAAAGGCGAAGGAGTAATCATTTTCACATGTTCTTTCAACAACTCACATCGTTCTGCCAACGTGATGGACAAGTTACCACAAATGATATTAAGTAACTCTTTCCTGGTCATTTTAACATGTTTTCGGACCCTGAAAAGAAAACAACCTTTTTTGTAAGGATTATTTTGTTTGTTAATGGAGATATAAAACGGTCGAAAATAACGCGTCCATCAACGTCATACTTCACATACGTCAAACTTATCAAAATAATATAGGTTACTTTTAATTTGAACAGCTAATTGTAGTAATTTTATGTATTTACTATTTCATTAAATAACGATACATGCTAATAACAATTTTATAACAATAACAATGTAATAGAAATAATTGTTTCTTTGTATCTTAGGAGCTAAGTAAACAAATATTACTTTTCGATCAACTGTATTTTTTATTTAATTTTTAAACATCTGAAAAATGAGTCTTTGAAATTATCCGCGAACATTTTCTTGAGCCCTCGCTTCGCTAGTTGCCAGAGGAGTGGGAAGTTTGGTTATTTTCACAAAACGTATTTTATATCAAAGTAATTCGTTCGTTTTCGATGCAAAATAGTTTCTAATATATGGGAGAGAACATTTCTGGTTATCAGATTTTGTCTACAACGTTCCTTGCTATTATTTATTCCTAAATCACCTAATGTAGGCAACGGAGTCAGGGTAGATATTCCGGGGCTCATGAAAACGTGTAATATCACGTATGTATTTGGCCTTTCATTGAGCGTACACTCTTTCTGAGGACGAGGTTTGATAAAAGGTATTGTATTATGGAAATATTATGTAACATATACTTTTATGAAATAAAATGTGCGTAATCAGTCCAGCAGATGCAATACGTATGAAAATATGTTTATGTAATATTAGATCTTGATCATTTTCATATACTTTTTTGAAGATTTTTTCAAGAATGCAATATTTTAATATTATGCAATTGTTTTATTAAGGATTTATTAATAAAAAATTTAAGGCAGTTCCTTTCTTCTTGAAGGTAAATCATAAAATTCGAATTTGATCAATGATTTATAGGTTTTGAATGTTTTATAGATCTACCACTCACAAACAACTCATTTTGTGATATTTTCGGGATCCTCATTTTGGGCAGACACGAAATGAAGCGTTTTTCAAGAGAAACAACTCTTTAAAAACAAGTTCATTATTCTATCACCTTGTAAAGTTATAGTAATATCACGTGTGCTATAACAGCACACACTTTTGCGCAATATTTTAACTTTTTGCACTTTTCGAAAATTTAGAGTTAAACGAAAATGAAATCTGCATTATTTGTTAAGCGTCGTTTGGAAAAAGATTAAAGAAAAAAAAAAAACTGCTTCCAATTTTGAGAATTTTGTTTCATAAATTACAATAAATTCAAGCAGAAATTATGGGAAACCTACTCGTTTGTTCCAAAAAAACTGTAATGATCATATTTAAAGATTTAGTTTTAGAACATTCTTTGAGAAACAATCTATATCATCAATGTTCTACTTTTTCAATGTCATTTTTTGCAAATTTCATAAACAGAGGGATTGCCGAAAGTGAGACTAACGTTATTTTTTAACGCCCACTGCTACATACAGGAAAAATAAAGAAAAAATGGACTTGTATTTAAGAAAATAATAATTTTATAAACTTGTCTATATTTCACGAAATTACTCATATTTTTTAAATTAACATGGCGTTATTTTAAGATTTAACTTTGAAAAACAGAGTCATTAAGAAAAAAATCTTTCTTGAATATTGCAGTTGTAGGAAGAAAACAATTTAGAACTTTTGCAACTTTCGAAACTTCAGAAATTTTAACGAATATTCGATCTTTGCAATTCTCTTATGCGTTATTTATGCTATCCGAGGACAATGTTTAATAAACAAATGTGGAGCCATTTTTGAGAATCATTTGAAAATGTGATTGTGACTTCTTTAAAGTATTGCCTAAAATAAAAAAAATATTCATTTGAAACACACAGTACCTCGATTTTGGCTAGATTGATCGAAGACTCAATTATGCTGAAAAAAGTGTGAACGGTGTAGACTCGTGCGATGATTGACATATAAACAGCTAGGAAACTATTTAAATTTGTTAAAGCTTTGAGGAAAAGGTGGAAAGGTTTTCGCAGGCTAACTTTTTTGGTCTCTAATACGAGTTCGGTTCGCAAAAGGAAATTTCCCAACGTCTACGTTCTCCATATTCAACGTTTTCCATGTTCTTGTCTGAATGTTATGCAGGTGCGTTACTTAGTAACCTTTTGGCACAGTGAAGTCCGATCGTGCTTCCGCAATTCGGTCTGGCTTTCCTAGACAACGCCCCTCCCAATTGCGCTAGCCACAATTGTCCTATGAACTAATGTTATACTCTAGAGAGCAGAAAGGTTAATCCAGAGAGCAGAAAGTTTGCGGCTTGTCACGAGACCACATGTCATAGTTTCTGCAGAGGGGCGTACGTATCTATTATTATTATTATTATTATTATTATTATTATTATTATTATTATTATTATTATTATTATTATCTTAAGCAGGCAGTATTGTTATTTTGCGGCTAATTATTTGGTTTTCTTGAGATATTTAATCTAACCTCATGACATATACCGACTGTCGCGTGTTTTAGAAAGTAGTTGGTCTCTTTTCTACATGATTTCAGAAATGTGGAATGAAATCTTTCAGCGGTTGTTCACCCACATGTGCCAGTTGCTATAAACGGCGTAGTCGGCTTATGATCTGATATCTAAATTTTTGTGTAATTATGCTGCTTTTCTACTGAAAACTAAGCCTTCCAAGCCAGCAGAGTCCAAAACCCAATTTCAACCAAACTATATCCAAAATTTTAGGTTAATTGGAGGCTATTTAAATGTTCAATTCCCGAACTTTAGGCTCTTTTGGATTTTCCAAAATCGTGGGCGCTGCTAGCTTTACAATAGAGCTAGCAGCGCCCACCTAGAAAATCAATTCAAAAATATGAAACTATTCTCTAAATTTAAGGCTAAAATGAGGCTCTAGGGAAAAAAAATATTCCTACGCTTGTATTCCAAAAATCAGGGCTGTACAAAGAGAAACAGTTAACATTAGTTTTTATGGACAAATAAAAACCAAAATCAAAAAAATCTTAGAAAAATTAGGAAACCCTATATCTCAAATTTAAATTAGCGCCAAAATGTGATTGTAAAAATAGTTTTTTATATGCTCTTGAAATCTTATAGGTGTTACATCGGTTATGTACCAAACTCAGTTGGAATATCCATTGCGGAAAGTGATGGGTGGACTCTCCCGCATCCGACTTCAGCCAATGAAGTTCAGGCACCAGTTTGCGTTGTGTATTAGCGGAAATTGTAAATGCCAAAATTGTCACAGTACA